AGCAGTTTGGTATTCCCCTCAAATGTTCATGTGCTGGAACTGAACTCTCAAATTCATGCGTTAACTCTATTGGAAAGTGGAGCTTTGGGGAGAAAATCAGGATTGGGTGAGATCATGAAGGTGGAGCCCGTAGGACGGCACTAGTGGTTTCACAACATGAAGAGAGACCCAAGTGTGCACGTTTGATCTGTCTCCAAGTGATACTTCTGCCATGTTTGCATGCGGCTGAAGGGCTCTCCTTCCAGGTACCAAACCCACCCTCTCGCACTTCTCCCACCCCCAGAACCAGGAGCTAAATAAAGGCCTAGTCCTTATTCTTTATAATTTACCAGTCCCAGGAATTTCATTACAGTGACAAGAAACAGACAAAGACAGATAGTGAGCTTTGGTAACGATGTTCTAAAGCACTTGCCATCAGCAAGAGGTAGTCAGGGCATTCCGGTGTCATGTGCAAAAGCGTGTTGTCCAATGAGTGGTGTTAGAAGGCCAAGAAGAGCCAAGAAGGTAGTTTGCTCTTTTTTTTTTTGACCCAAGGTCAACACCAAGTAAAGCAAGGAATAAAAGGATGCCCCTTATACAGTCTCAGTCATTCACTTATTTATTTACACATGTGTTCATCCACCCAACAAACACAGAGTGGGAAAATATATAGTCTGGGACTTAAGGATGCTCCATCTAGAAAGGAGACTGACAGTTATACACACGATGCTAAGTGCTTTGTTGGGAGACAACATTTGTGTATTAAGGGGGATCAGGACAGCGGACCCCAAAGAAGTGGCCCTGAAATATATGATTAACTTGGGAACTAAATTTCCTTCAACCCCCAAAGTGTCCTCCGGACCTCTAAGCCAGTGGATTCATTTAATAGGCACACGAATCACCTGAGGATCTGATCAGAGTACAGATTCTGGTTTTCCGAGATCTGCATTTCTGATGAGGCTTCGAGAAGCTGCCGATGCTGCTGGTCCTCAAGCACACTTTGTGTGGGGAAGAGGGATGGTCCTGTGCTCCAACTCAGGCCAGCATGACCATCTATTTGTCCTGGCTCCACCTCATGAAAAGCAGAACTGTGGAGAAGGGGACAGGATGACAAGAGACGCTCTCCAGACCCTGCCGCTATCGCCATGGAGGTGTGCATGGCGGGGGTGTGCAGCAGAGATCACAGATGCTGCTTTATAAAATTGGTAGAACTTGGTATTATGCTTTCCTTTTTGGCCTCCCCAGTTGGCCGAACCCTCTCTTGACATGAAGAACAGACTGGAGATGTAAATATGCATGCAGGAGTGCTGCACGAGGCTGCAGAAGCAGGAACAGATTAGCACAAAGACGGGAAAATGGTTAGCGTTGCCTCAACTGCTTGGCAAGCTGAACACAGAGAAAGGTAGCTGAAAGAATTTCTTCCATGTTTTCACTCATTGGAGGGAGGAGGTGACGGGAGTCACATATGCCTTGTTCCCTTGGAGAAAAAATCTACCACACTGCAGCCCAGACTGGAGGGAGACAAGGCCGGAAGGAGACAAGGCCGGAAGGAGACAAGGTCGGGGGGCGGGTACAAAGACATCTTAGCTTAAGGAAGAGGGCAGAGGCACAGAGTCCAGGCAACTGGAGCTCAGCATGGTTGGCGCACGGCATGTGGAGGCTCCTGAAATGAGGGTCACAGAGCGAGGTGCGACCCCGACAGAAACATGAGGTAGACAGGAAGCCACGGAGGGTTGTTTTTTGTTTCATGTATGGCTTTTGGTTCTAGAGACATTTTTCTTCATCTCAATGCATAACTTTTTGAACAGGAAACTTACCTCAGACTCCCAAAGGCTGTAACAGTTACTCTGTTGAAATTTCTACTTCTTGCCTCTGTTCCTCAGCCACCTTACTTCTCTCCCCCCAGGCAAATGACACAGTTTCTTGAGACTCTTTCCAGAAATATTTTAAGGGGGTATGGGTAAACTTTTAATATATTTTTTCCTGCCTTTTACACGAAACATTATTTTGTCACACTGTCCGACCATACTGCTCCCTTAACTTCCCCCGTCATTCACTCTGACTCCAGCTATGTTTTGCTCTGACCTGTTGACTTCACCTCTTCATTGTCCTTCATGTCCTTCATTGTCCCTTACTTCCTCAGCTTGTACAGTATCCTGACCAAATCACTCCTGGCAGCTCTACGTGACGGGAGGAAATCCACACAATAATGCTGGCCTCGCTCGCTCTGAATCCATGACCAAGACCCTCCAGGGGACCGTTGGAGGTGCCTGGTCACCAAAAGAACCCATCCAGTCTTTCCTTCTCCTCAAAGACTACCTCATACCTCCTCTTCTTCCCTGGAACCTGCAAAATCTCATTTCCCCTCAACTCCATTCCCTACTGATGACTATTTCCAACTTCACAGAGACGGCTGAAATAATTAGAAGAGGACATCCCTAAATTAATGCTTCTCCACTCACTACCTACCTATGCAGACCTGTGCCACCTCCTTGGTCCGCATCCTGTGGCTATGGGTAACTCCTAGTTGAGGCCTTCTTCACTTGTGGCCTGTATTCCAACCTCTGTTGTGCAGGCAAACCTCTCCTCCACAGCCACCTAAACATCCTCACCCATCTGTACTGGGACACTCCCAGGGGCCAACAAATATGTTCTTTCTTCCATCCTAATAAAATACCTCTCTTGATCTTACTTTTCTCTCAGGCAATGACCTATGACCTCTCTCTCTAGCAAAACTCTTCAGAAGAATAATCTCTATGTCTTCTGACTTTCATTCACGTCTCTTCCCATTCTTCTCTAGTCTACTTCGCCCCGTGTCTCTCCATCATCCATTATAGGTGTCCTTGTTGGGATCATTAGTGACCTTCGTGTCACCGAACCCAATGGACAATAGCTAGGCCTCATCTTGTTAACTAAGCACAGCACTAACCCAGCTGGCCATTTCTTCCTCCTTGAAGCACTTCCTTTTCTTCTGAGACACATAATCCTTGACTTTCCTTCCACGTCAGGAATCTTTCAGTCTCAGTCTCCATAGCTGGTTTCCCTTCCTCTCCCCGTTCCACCTGTGTGCTGAACTCCCACTTTTCGTTTGGACTCTCTACTCTTATATCCAGCTGCCTACTCAACCACTCCCCTCCGATGACGGGTAACATCCCAAACTTACTGAGTAAAAGACTGAACTTCTAAGATTATTCTTTCCCACCCTCATCACCTTTACCCATAGTCTCACCATCTCAGCCAATCAAACCACATTCTCCTCGCTTCTCAGGCCCTTGATCCTAGCCACTATCCTTTCTCACCTCTGAACTACAACAACTCCGATAGTAATTCCCAGTACAGCTCTTAAAACTGAAAATACTTAGCTGGTCATCTTCTAAAGCAATAGCAAAAGAGGGTAGCAGGAGAGATACACTTAAAATTTTATTTTCTTCTTGTCTAGGGCTTCAACACACATTCCCTTCAATCTGTCTTCCATGCTGTCAGAGGGAAATCTTTCTAAAAGGTGATGAAAGAAAAAGTCCAGGATGTCTACACGTAATTCCAAAGGTCAAAGGCAGGGTAGTGGAGTGGATAAGGGAGGTTAATCACTTAGCACTTATTGTCCTAAACCACGAAAATACTGTTTCACTTGCCCGAATTCATGTTAAAACCTAAATTTAAGACCCCTGGCAGCTGACCCCAGTGGCCACTGATTCCTGTTTACACATTTTCAGGAGTACTGACTCCAGCCAATCCTTCTCCTTATGGACTGCCCTCCTAGCCTCAAACCTTCTCCTCTTACATCTTCTTACCCCTCTTATCTACCGCTGAGGTAAGCTCAGTGTAAGCAGTTCATGCTTTCCTTCCCCAAATTTTCACCATAAAAATACTCTTCACACTCAGGTCTGCTGGGCGCTTTTCTAGCTGTGCTATCCAGCCTTGCTGCTGGGAGAGTGGAATTTGTCCCAGGACCTGGTCCTTTTCTTGTTAGCCTCTGGGATGGCTCAATAAATCCTTTTGTTTCAGAGAAGCCTCAGCCCAAAGAATTTTGGTTTAACAAGGACAAGCGCCAGTCATGGACATCCCAGTTAAGACTCATGGTGACATCTTATGGCCCAGAGGATAAGTTCTAAGTGCCTTCTCATGGTGTACAGGGCCCTACCTTCCCTTCAGGGCCCCTCCCAAGTCTACGCCCCCTGATTTCATGCTATAGACTACCTGGAGCTGCCAGACAAAGAAGTTGTAGGGAGAATCTGAACAGAAGGAGCAGGAACAAAATGTCTGTGGAGAGAGAACATGCTCATGGCAGAAGTACACATGTGAGATGCGAGAGGGGAGTGAAGCAGCAGGCAGGAAGTTCAGTACAGCCAGAGGAGGGAGTGCTTCCAGGGTCAACTGAAGGGAGTGCTTCCGGGGCTTCAACTAGGAAGCCAAGCAGGACCCAGACCCTGAAGGGCCCCCATGGCCATGGAAAGGAAGGTGTTACTGTCATTTCGTAACTTTAAACACGGCTGTGGACCAACGTGTAGAATGACATCAGGTTTCCACCTGGGGGTTAACATTGCTCGGGAGATTCATCCTTCATTTTAATATAATTTTCAGACTTAAATCATGAAAGCATGCAAGCGCACTATGTGTTATCATATACTACTAATGATAGATTATTTTTTAAAGCTTGCCAAAGCTTTTCTCTAAGAAAACTCCCAAATTCATCTTTTAAATCATGGGTCATATGCCAAAAATTCTACTTTGAAAATAGACCCTACGTCAAAAGAGGTAGAAAAACATTACTGCAGACATTGGTGAGACCTAGACAGATTCTAAGCAAGGCCATGAGATGACTACATTAGAAAAAAACGCTTTACAGATAACACAAAGAGAAGAAAGATCCATCTGAGAACATTTGTCAGATTTGTGCAATCAACTGCCGTAACAGGAGGAGCTGACAAACCACAGCAAACACACAAACCTGATAACATGCCCAACTGAGACCAAGGGTCAGAAAAGTCCAATGGACAGAAAATCTGAAACAACGCTGTCTTAGAAGAGTTTATTTCTCTCAAATAAAAGAAATACAGAGCAATCCACACGGGGGTTCCACGACCTCCAGAAATTTGACTATTCCTATGTCATGGCTCCTCCTATTTTTCCAGCTCAGGTAGTTCCAAACTCATGCTACAACACGGCAGTTACAGCTCCAGCCATCAACTCTATATTTCAGGTAACAAACTAGAGAAAGAGTTTGGTTTGTTTTTTTTTCCTTAATTCCCGTTAAGGACACTTTCTGGAAGTCATAATCAACAATTCTGCTCATATCCATTGGTCAGGACTTAATTGTCTGGTGTAAATCCAAAAAAGGATGGGAAATATAGTCTTTTTTGGGGCCACTATGTGCCCAGCTCAGAGAGTTTTATTACTAAAGATGAAATATTGGTGAACAATTAATGATCTCTGTCAAACCAGACATATAACCTGTAGAGGAAGAAAAGGGCATATTATTAACTAGTAGGATTTGGCACCCCCAGAATTGTTCTCCCAAATGCATCTCAACTTCTGATCCCATGCCTTGATTCCTCCAATGCCCCCCTGCCTACTCCCCATTTCCCATGCTCAATGCTACCACCTTCTTACTAAAATCCTGCTCATAGTTCAAGCCCCAACTCTTGCTATGACATCCACGAAGTTATTCCTGACCCTCTCCGCACTAGAATTTCATGTTCCATGGAGCTGGGCTTCTCTCTTGACACCACGCGGCCTCAGTCATTGGTACAGCCAGGTACTGCAGGGTAAGTTATCCAGCAGGTAGAAGCGAGCCTTCTCCACCTCTTTTGCCAGCAGCACTGTGTAGCAGAACATGCTTACAGCACAAATATCAGCAAATTATATTGATTAGTTAGAGAAAGAAAGGGTCTATGTGAAGGAAGGGGGGAACAATGTGTTTATACTCTTTTAAGGGAAGTGTTCATGCACCGAGTGAAATTTCCTGTAAATGCACCTCAGAAAATACGATCTTTGCTGAGGCCGCAATCCCTTCTTAGAGGCCTAATTTGGCACGATCTGCTTTGCTGAGCAAACACTTGTTATTTTTCATTTGCTAGCTCTTCCTAAGAGCTCTTTCTAACACAGCAAAACAAGGAAAAAGGAATGACTACAATGAAAGCCAATCGCGACAGTAGTACTCGCTAACATGTAACACTGCTGGGCACAGGGTGGGACACTTCACATCTGTGATCTCATACGTCTTTCACCACCGCAATGAGGCCCAGCACCTCACTCATCCCGAAGGGACGGAACGACTGGGAAACTTTCTCAGGTGAACAGCAAGGCTGCAATGTTTTCTGTTCATATGGGCCTATCGTATGTGTGACATATCTTTTCATAAAGCTTTGCATCATCTTTTTCACTGTTAAGAGACCCGCTGGTAGACAGACACGAATATTCCCCTTATTTTATAAATGCAATGAAAACCCTCATTTAAAAAACCATTCCCAAATCACTGTTGGACATAAATAACATTGCAATTATCTGTCAATTGCTAACGTGGTACACCTTATAGTTGGGGGTCAGTGGTGTCTTAGAAACTAATTCCTATTTAGTGTCTTAGTCATGTTCCTCGTCACAAATACCAGGCAGCTGAAACTTAAAGGAGAAGAGGTTTACTTTGCTCACATTTTTAGTCCATGGTCTGTAGGCTCCAAGGCAGGAAGACATGGCCGAGAGGTGTGACACGGGAAAGCTGCCTATGAAGGCATGAGGCTCATGTGGGGCATCCAGATAAACACGACGGAGTAATTCTTTTGATAAAGTTACTAGTCAACTGAGAAATTCATCTGTAGTTGTCTGTGGGTACTTTTTCCCTTTGTGTCAGTAGGGATCAAACCTAGCACCTCACACATGCTAGGCAAGTGCTCTACGTCTGTGCTATACCTCCAGTCCCTGGATAGCTTCTCTTGAAAACAAGGGGCATAGACCTTGTGAGATCCTACTAGTCAGTAATGGAAATAACAATACCAACATCCATTAAGACAATCTATCTTTTCTGTATGCTAGGTAAGAAAGATAATTTGATCATCTATTACTTTATTAAATCAGTTTCACTGTATCAGATTTGCCATTCCAGGTTTAATGACCTCAAAAATATTTGCAAACATTGATCACGCCCTAGATTCTTAGGTCCTACTTTCGTAGGACCTACTTTCGTAGGACCTATGCATGTAAAGTACTGGGTTTCGTGGATTCCCCCCCTCCTTTCGCTTGCAGGGGCCAACCCAAGGATATCCAGATGTAGACCAATGCTTTCTGTGGCCAGAGCGCAGTGTCACTGCTAGATCACTTTTGATGGAGAATTCGACGGTGCCAGCCTGCAATGCACCATCCGCTCTTCCTCACACTTTTTGAATCTTCTCTAGAAACGTGTTAAAGTTTCCCTCACCCCTCCAAATTGAAGACCATTTCCTCAAGGCGGCCTTCCTCTTCAGCCGCCCCTCCGACGCTGACCACACATCCTGACAGGGTTGCTTCTGTTCCCCTTCCTCCTTTCATTGCTCAGTTCCCCACTCCGGCTTCCACCTTGCACCAAACCACGAAAGCCCACAAGACTGGGGTCGTCTCTACGCCCACCACACCACCAAAGCCAAAGGGAGTTTTCCACTTCTTACTTTGACGGCCCTCTAGGCTGCATGTGACAATGCTGGATGGCTTTTCCAGTCCAGTTCACAGGCTTCACCTCTTCTGGCTGTGTTTAAAAATCGGCTCAGCTCCCAACTCGTTATCACTGCTCTTCTCATTACGCAGTCTTCTTGAGTGGAGCTGAACTGTTAGCAAAATTTCAGCCACCACATTAAGGGACCTGCTCATATCGAACTGGCATTTCCTCAGACCTGTGGACTTCAGTCCAGGTGACTCACGGGCATCTCTGCCTCGATCTCCCATAGGTTCTCGAACTGCATGCACTCAAAATAAAAGCTAGAACCTTCCCTATAAATCTATCCTCTTCCTACGGTCTGCCCTCCTGAGTGATTACCCAGCCACTGAAACCAAACACTTGAGCTTCACCCTGGGCTCCTTTCAATCCTAAGGGCTAAATCCACTTAGCTCTTAAGTATTCACCCACCCATTCCTTCTGAATCCTTACGTCGTCGGAATCTGTGTAACCTGAATCTGACCATGCAAGTTACGCCCCTGCTTAAAACTCTTCAACGTGTCCGCACTGCATGGATTCAGGATTAAAGGCTCAATGTTTAAAGTTCTTTGAAAGCAGCCCTCTAATTTCTCCAGTCTCAAACTGGAGGCTAAATGCAATGTATTCGTCAATCCCCTCCTTTGTTTTTCTTCGGGAAGGACTCCAGAACTGAGCTAACATAGCATTCCAAAATTGGAATGTCGGCTTATTCTGTTTTAGATCTCTGGAGACTGGAAATATGCACAGTAAGTACTAAAATGGACACAGCTTCCAACACTTAGTAAAAGGAAGGAAAAAAAAAGTTTCAGTGCCTCCCCGTCGGGGAATCGAACCCCGGTCTCCCGCGTGACAGGCGGGGATACTCACCACTATACTAACGAGGAACTGCACACGAAACGCTCTTCCGCCAGATCTTTTATCCTGTATGCCTCCGCCCCACCCTTGCCATCTACACTATCAAGTGATCTGGCATTTTGTTGCCATCGCGGCTTTCACTGAAATTACTGGAACTAACGTGGAAGCGTTTGGTTTGTCTCACCGCTCCACTTCAACCCTTCGGCTCACCCTTTCTCCAACAGTGCCCCACTCCTCAGAGATTTCCCCTCCGCCCCCACCACGGCCCCGCACTCCCAGGTGGCCTAGCGAGCCACCGCTCCCGCTGCATCACGGGACTAGTGGTTCGGCCCCCGGCGCCACCCTCGCTCTTCTGACTCTGAGGAACTCGCTTTCCCGGCGTCCCCCGCGAGTCCTCTTCGCCTCGCCTCTCTCCTCGGCTCCAGCTCTGTTGGAATCGGCTGCCACTGTGCAGTGCGGGTCGGCGTGCGGCGGGTCTCCCAGAGTCATGCCAGAGGTCGTGGACACCTGTTCTTTAGCCTCCCCGGCTACCGTCTGCCGGACCAAGCACCTGCACCTGCGATGCAGCGTGGACTTCAGTCGCCGGGCGCTGACCGGGATCGCCGCGCTCACCATCCAGTCTCAGGAGGACAATCTGCGCAGCCTGGTACGGAGGCGTCTCCCCGGCCGCCGCCTCCTCACCCTCGCCCCTCGCCCCGGCGCCCCGGCTGCCCCCGCGCGGCCCCCGCCGCAGGCCCCTCTCCTTCAGCATCTCCCTCCCCAGCCCCTTGTCCACAGCGCCCCGTCTTCACCCCATCGTGCTCAGCTCCCCTGCCGCACGTTTGATGCGGTGTCCCCACGGCCCCCGGGTCCAGCCCGGCACCCGGCCCACGACTTGCTGTTCTCGTCTCACCTTGACGAACCCCGCCCCGGCACGGGCACACACACACACACACACACACACACACACACACACACACGCACACGCGCGCGCGATCCGTTTTCCCGCGCGGCCTCCCCAATTTCTCGGCCCGCAGTCCCCGCATCGCTCAGTCTTGTACAGCTCAGACCCTGTACACCGTTGATCCCCCAAACACACCTTCGTCCCCGCCCGCCACCGATGCCCTGTTCCTGGCGAGCCCTCTGTTCCCGGTCCGAGCCCTCGGGATTTCCAGCCCCAGCCCCTTCTCTCCTCTGCTTTGAAACTTCCAGTCTCCGCTTTCTCTTTCTTTTCAGGGTTCTTCGTGCCTTTGCTGCTTATCACCCTTATTTTCTAGTAATTTAAGGACGGGTGGGACATTCGGGCTTTCTAAGGATGACTCTACGATTTCATACTTTTATAAAGTGTCTAAGTATTGGAATAAAGGTATGCTTAGATTCGTGGAATATTAGTCAGTGATTTCATTTGCACCATATGACCTGCGTTCAGCGTGCTTGTACCTGTTGTGTTTGGGACCGTACTTTGCATCTGAAAAGTTCCACAGAGCAGTGTTTTAGAAATAAGAGGGACAGGAGTAAAACCAGTCATATTCAACTTCCTACCTAGAGTAGGATGGTTGGATGGTACGGGGTAGTTTGCAGTGTTGTAGGGTGATACCTGTTAAACAGTAATAAGCAGTCAGATTAAATACTGAGGAGGGAAATTAGTGAATCAAGTAATTGGACAGAATAATAAATTTAGATAAGAATTGAGGTTTCGCCTCTTTTTCCTGCTTGTATGATAGATCCTCTATTTTGAGTTCATTAATAGGAATTAGTAAAGCACTTAACTTTCTTGCTGTTCTGTATTGATGTGTAATCACCAAAAGTAGTGTAAGGAAGAAAAATGAAAGCATTATAAACATGAAGGTAACCATTTCCTTGTGGGTTGCACTTTGGTCTTGAAGTACCATGCTATCTTTTATTGCAGGAGCAGCTTTACTGCAGCAGGGCTGAAGTTAAGTTCCATTTCAATGAATTCTTTCCTTTTATTAAAAGAAGGTGAATTTTGCTAGCTTATCATGGCTTAATGTGACCTTGTACTACCCTCTGTTTCATAAAAATTAAAAGCTTTACCTCTGGAGTAAGCATGAGTCAGGAGGCTTAAATTTTGAAGAATGGCTCCAAAAAACTTGCCAGTTGTTCTTGTAGTCCCTACGTCTAGCGAAAAGTAAGATTTTAAAATTATGATTTCTAGTTTGGCCTATCAGTTTAAATTAACAAATTATAATAATGTTAAATTTGTACAAGGAAGATTATTTGTTTGCAACTGTTTGCTTGTTTATAACCTGAGACCAAGAGCTTCCTCTTAATTTTTATATTTATTTGAAGTTAGCTTGTTTTCCCCACTAGGGACTGAAGGTAGGGACTGTATTTCATATTTCTTTATATCTCACATTCCTAGTATAGCACTGGGCATGTAAAGACTCAAAAGTCTGACTCACAGATACAGTGAACTAGAAAGCAGTGGTTAAACTTGATATGGACTACATTAATAATCGTGCTAACGGTATCTCAAAAGTGAGATGACGTCACAGCACCCCAAGGTATGATAGACCAGTGCTGGCGCTGGGTGAAGGAAGAGACAGCATTTCTTCTCTTTCACCCCATTCTTGGAGTCTGTGACTTGGGAAATGCCATAGGAGCTTGTAAGAGTACTCATTCCCAGCTCTCTATAGTCTTTTCCAAGTTGCAGTTTGTTTACACTGAGATTGGTATTCAAAATGCTATATGATAACTTTTAAGCATTTGTTGAAACAAGATGTTCCTCAGGTGGCTCAAAGGAGGCTTACTGTCCTGGCCAAGACCATTCACTTGTAAGTGACAGAAGCCAGGGATTGAACCTGGATCTTCACTGAATTAATGGCTGAAGCAGGAAAAACATCAAGCTGTTATTTGGGTTTGGTTGTAACAGATAAGCCTGTGGGTTTTGTTTTGTTTTGATCACCGCAATTTATAGATACCAAATAGAAACTACAAAGACATGATAATGAGCCATAAAGCTCTCTTTGTTCACTTTGTTCCACAAGGAATTTGAGGCTCCTTAAGATAACGTGCAGTATAATAAGTTGAAAATAATAGGCCGGGGATATAGTTCAGTGGTGCAAGCACCTGCCTGGCAAGCGTGAGGTTGTGAGTTGGATTCCTGGTTCAAAAAAAAAAAAAAAAATCAGGAATTTGGAGGAAGAGAGAATGAAGATAGAAGGAATAAGACAGTGGTATAAAGCCTGTAACACCATGAATTGGGCCACAGTACTGACATAGAACTTCCTAGTAGCCTGTGCAAAAGGGAATCTATTATATACTTCATGGCAACTGATCAACTGCTCAGGAGTATTTTTAAAAAATGTTTGTGGTGTGTTGTTCAAAGAGGAGACTGAAATACAGCAAGCTATATCCTCAGTAACTTTCTGCCGTAAGTAGGGCTATTTTGTACAACTATATGTCGGTGTTTTCATCTTGTACATAATTGGTGCTCAGTAGATGTTTGTTGAAAGTACTAATTCTGGGGCTGGGGATTTAGCTCAGCGGCAAAACGCCTGCCTGGCAAGCGCAGGGTTGTGAGTTCGGTTCCTGGTACCGGAGAAAAAAAAAAAAAAAAAAAAAAAAAGAAAGTACTAATTCTAACTTGTCAATCATCTAACTTCTTTTATTTCACTTACTACAGGTTTGGCCAATTGTTTAATAACACTTATCAGAGAAATTTGAAGGGGAATGACTTGCATAATTTGGAAATGAAGATTGAGGCTTAGGCTTTGACATACAGAGAAAATTGACATTTTCTAATTTCTTTTGGTCTAGAACTTGCTTCATACATTAACAGACATCTACAGTTTTTCGGGCACTATGCTAAACCCTGGGAATGGAAAACTTAAGGAACATTGTCTATTTAAGTATTTCAGCAGGAGAGGAAATAAATCATTATACTACAGTATAAGAAGTGCCATAGGAGAGTGCAGGGCCAACCACTATAATAAATATAGGGAATATGAAAAAAGGCTCACAAAAAAGTTATTACTGTAATCAATTTTTCTGATGCAGAGAAGATCTGAAAACTTTAGACGATGGAGAAAATAGACTACGTTCCCCTCAGAAATGACCAGTCAGTTCATCTTGATAGTTATAAGGTCCATATAAGCATGGGTTGTTATAAACATAGGTACTCAAATTCTATTATTAAATTAGATATCCAAATATATATATACTAGAATATGAAAGTACATAGAAGTGACTATTATTCTTAAGATATGAACTGTATGCTCCAAATATATGAGTATAGGAAGATAAGCCAGTTTAGAGATACCTAAAAAAAAAAAAGAAAGTAATCTGAAAGAAAGAATTGCCCATTAGGAAGGAATCAGAGGATACTCAACAAATTTAGCTACTCAAAAAGAGAAAAAAATTAAGAAAGATCAAATTAGTTGGGATGAAAATTTCTTTCCAAACAGAAACTGTTGGCATCACAGAGGTGGGAATCATACTTAGTGATTGACCTTACAACTGTCACTCATAATTAACATAAGAGAAGTGACAGGGAAGTGGCTGTTTGTTGGCATTCTAACTCCCATTGCTGTTCTAACCCAAATATGGGCATAGGGTGGTGATGGTCCCAGAAATTGGGAGATGAGATAACAAGGGAATTCTGACTGCTCAGGATCTGGTCTAGGGTGCTGGTAGAAAAAAAAGAAAAAATATGAAGACAGTATAAAGAAGAACACCTTCTATGGACCGTGTGCAATTGGGAGGATCGTGGGTTATTATCGTGTTTGAAACCTCAGGTAGTTTGAGGAGTTTCAGTAATAGAATTAAGAAACAGGAGAGAGCTGATTTAGGGGAGATGATGGTGGCTTCATTGTTAGATGCCTGTTAAATATGAGGGGGTATAGTACTTCCTGTGGACAGGTTGAGCAGGCAGTTACAGATGTCCAGCTGACATTGTGGGCAGGGGCAACTGTAGGAATAGACAAGTGGTCGTCGGCACAGAGATATTAGTTGAAGGTATGGGCATGAGTAAAAGCTAGGGAGTGAAGAATGTGGTGAGAAGATCAAAGGACGAAGGCTAGAACATGGGGGCATACCCATAGGCAGGAGTTAGAAAGAGGAAGGAGAAGAAACTCCTAAGTACAAGAACTGTTTGTGTAATGGCAGAGAAGCTAAAGATGGAGTTTCACCCAAGTGGCATGGTCCCCGGAGCTATGAGTAGACACAGGTCACTATTTTGTATGACTATCCCTGAAGATCTTGTGGACCAGAGGGACTGCGCCTTCAGTAACAAGGAGTAGAAGCCAGACTGAATAGAAAGGAAGAATGCTTGATGAGGAAGAAGAAGCAGCCCCTGATCACCCTTGGAGTTGAAGGAAAGAAGGAAGGAAGGAAGGAAGGAATGTAGGAAGGAGGGAGGGAGGAAAGGAGGGAAGGAGGGAGGAACAAAGGCAGGAAGATAGAATAGTGGGTAGAAGGGTCAATTGGCTACTTAAAAATAATGTGAGAGACTTGTTCAGATTGTTTGGAAACAGTTTAGTGGCACAGGAAGGTCGAAGGTTCTAGAAGGATTTAGTTGAGGGGTGATGGGAAGGTCTGTTTTCTAAGCTCAGGGGATTACTGGGATGAAAACTGCTCAGGTTCTTGATGCCCCTCCTTTTTGCCCAATGTAGTCATCCTTAATCGGCCATGGCAAGCACATTCAGTCTCCTAGTCCCCCACAGGGTCATTTGTCAACTGTTTTATGAGGATGAACTTTTTCTGGATAACACAACAGTAGTGATACACGGTCTGCTCATTTGCGTAACAAGTGCCGAGGGTTGTTCTAATTTTTACACTTATGAAGTACACTATCTGAGTATACTATATATGAAAGTATACTATAGGGATTGGACTATATAAATTCTAAGAAACGTAGGGAAAGATATATTAAAGAGTTTGAATTTAAAAAGGATATAGGCAAAGTTCTTTGTAACAGAGAAATTAAGCTTTAGGAGACAGAATTAAAGGGATTTTAATTTAGATTGACTTTTAGTTAGTGCCCAAAATTTGTGTGACTACCCTAGAATAATCAAACAGTATAAACGCAAATCTTAGACCCCCCAAATTTTCAGGATGCTTAGGATCTTGAGTGATGAGTCCTAGACTAACTTCTGCCTCCTTTAATTCCTGTAATATCGCTCTGGCTTACTCTGTATAAGCAACTGGTTCTACAATCGTAATTAATCTATATCTAACACTAATTCTTTCTAACATGTAAACTATTTTCCTGTTATTTATTTAAAAATTTAATTTCAGGTTTTGGATACAAAAGACCTTACAATTGAAAAAGTGGTGATCAATGGACAAGAAGTCAAATATGCTCTTGGAGAAAGACAAAGTTACAAAGGATCACCAATGGAAATCTCTCTTCCAATCGCTCTGAGCAAGTATGAAAGCTATCCACTGCTGTGTTTTATACCTGAATGATGGGGAAATATGTTTTAAAATAATTTAGACAGCTTTCCTTTTTTGTTTGTGTGTATGTAGTAATTGGCACACTATATCTATTAATGTGTTTAGATATGAGTTTACAGTGAAAATTATGTTTTTAAAATCCTAAATAAATCTATTGCCTAAAACACTAGGTTACTGGTAGAGCACTTGCCTAGCATGCGTGAGGCCCTAGGTTTGAGCCCTAGCACTGAGAAACAAAATATAAGCCAGATGTGGTGATGAAAGCCTTTAATTCCACTAGTTGGGAGGCTGAGGCAGGGGGATGGTGAGTTTGAAGACAGCCCACACCACATAGTAAGTTTAAGGGCACCCTAGACTATGTCGCAAGACCTTGTCTCAAAAAACAACTGTTCAAGAATAAGTTTTTTGGTTACTGACTTCTTTAGTTACTCACAATCTTATTAATGTCTAGAGTAATAATGGGGCCTGTCATTATAAGGAGTCATTTCAGGATAACTTAGGAAGCTTTTACACGCTGTACACTCACCTTTGCCACAAAGGCCAGGTGTTGTGATTAATGGATAATAACATCACCAAGCATAGAATTTTTATCTGTGTACCAATTGTGCTATAAGTGCTTCAGGTGCATTCTTTAGTCCTGTAATAACCCTGTGTAGTATAATCTATACTTTACAGCTGCAAAAAGGAAATCTCAGGTGAATAAAGTAACTTATTCAAGAAAATGGCAGCCCTAATTTTCATAAAGGGGACCTATCTCACCCCCTGACACATGCAGGAGGGAAAGGATGAAAACTGTTGGCCTAGGACAAGAGTGGTCTAGTAGCCAGTGTTTCTGTGCCTTCTCTTCCCTTTTCTAGTGGCCAGTGTTTCTGTGCCTTCTCTTCCCCTTCAAGAAAGGAAAAGGAAACCCCAAGGCAGGATGCAGGAAGGGCTTCATCAGCTCCATTTTACAGATGAAGAAATCCGCCCGAGTTTATGCCACCCATAAGTGGCCGAGTCAGGGTTCACACCCTGGCAGGTCTGCTGATCCCTAAAGCTCTGACTTGCTCCTCATTACGAGTGCTTCGGAAACTGCCTGTGGGAAAGGGGCAGTTTGTGTTTTCTCCAGTCTGTCATAGACTGCTATCTCTGAAAAATGCAATAAACACAAATTATTAGGAAAAAGAGATTAAATACGAGAATAAATACATGTTCTTTTATTATTAGATCCAGTGGTCATAAAAATTACTCTGCAAGTTTCTAAATACTTCATGTTGATTCCTTGACTTGCCGAATCACAGATCAGTAACAGTTTGCAGAGCAGCACTGCTTTGTATCACGCCCTAGCACCTACCACGTGGTAGTTGGAGCTCTGAACTCACGTCTCCGCTCCCGCAGTTTGTCAAGAACTAAGTGATATCACACATGCAAACTGTGGGACACACGGCGGAGCACCGACTCATATTAGTTCCCAGATGTCTTCATCAGGGTTAGCACAGCAGAGGACCCACAGGCTGGCATTCGGGTAGGAAAGCAAGAACACAGTTACCCAGGAGGGTGCTGCTTTCCTAGAGCTTCCTCTCTGTCAGTAATGAGACCTCACTTAATATTTACATTATTCACCATATGTATTATGAATTCAAATTTTAGTTACGTGGAAGTATGCTCTACTAATGTGCTTTATTTGTTTCCTACAGAAATCAAGAGGTTGTTATAGAAATTTCTTTTGAGACATCTCCAAAATCTTCTGCTCTTCAGTGGCTCACTCCTGAACAGACTTCTGGAAAGGAGCACCCATATCTCTTTAGTCAGTGCCAGGTAAAAAGGGTACCAGAATGGCGTACTGTACAGAGCACTCACGGCACCTGCACCTTCATGAGGCAAGATGAACACTAGTCTTCTGAATATATGGGCCTTAGCTAATACAGTGTTTTTTATTTTCTGATATACAAACAATATATATTTTCATGTGTGTCTCTTGCTACTGATATATTCATGTACTTTTAAAAATAAACTTCCTTTAGTTTGCAAGTAGTCTACCTAAATTGGAGTCTAGGTCTTATTTATAGTTACATCCCCAAGACCTGGCATAAAACTTGCCGTAGAGTGGGAACTCAATAAATGATCACAAAATACTAGGAAAAATTAGTGAAATAAAAATACTTACAAAATACTCAGGTTACGCAGAAAGTGAATGCTCAGATTTCTAACTCTGAACATCTAAACATCATTGCTCAGAGATAATCTTCTGTGAGTGTGGAGTGTAGCCTTTCCAGACCTGTTATACATTTACAAGTGTTTATATTCAATATACTTTTAAAATATGAATTACATTACTTTTGTTCCGTACTTCCAAGCTAAAGATAAATAACCATACAATTAGAGACAATCTGTCACAAGAATAAGTATCAAATTCTTTCTTGAGAAAAAGAAAACCTAATTCTGTCAAGAATCAAATAGCCTATTATTAAAATTAATGGAACTAACTCATAACATTTACTGTGTTCCTAGGCATTGTTTTAAGTACTTTATACATTTAATCAACTTACTATTCCTGTATGATAAACTCAAATTTGAATTAAAGACTGTAACAAAACCTAATTTAGACACATTTACTTTATGTGGCTGCTTAAAATATCTTTTTAATCTCGGAAGCCTTATTTCAGTAATCCAGAAGAGATAAATTGTTTTGGGAAAGAATGTAGCAATTCTCTCTCTCTTATCTCTTAGTCACATCTGATTTTTAGTCAGTATTTCTCATAGACTGCCCATAAGCCAAAGTTACTGAGAAACATAGTATTAGTGAGTCATATGAATATAAATTTTGAGTATATTAAAGTACTTCTTTAAGTATTCAAAAGACTACTTCATTTCTTGCAGCAGTGTTTAAAATATAGGAATGAGATTATACTACCTTCAGAAATTATTACAGATGACAAGAAACATGTAGATGTGATTTTTGTTTAGTGAATTTGCTTCTAGTAATTCTGTATACATATTTACTTAGCATTTGGTCTTATCCAGTGAAATACATATAAAAGCCCCTTTGGCATTGCCAAGCCACCTATTACACAACACACTATGAGGAACTCTAAAGGTTTTGGAACTCAGTTTGAGAGAGAGAATCCAGTGGTTCTTCTAGTCTTCTTTAACCCGGCTAGAGGTCATCTGGGAGCCCATGTCTTTGGGAATCGTCTAGATCTGGTGAGATCTAGTGTGGGGGTTTTAAGGAAGTCTGGGATTTTTAACAGCTTTAGAGAGGGATGATAGTATCAGTATTCCTTCCAGCCCAGTAGGCTGTTTCAGTGAAGCTGGGATTCCTTTGCTTATCAGCAGTAGAAACAGACTTATTTATAAACCGATCCGCTTATAGAATTGTAGGTTCTCTGGCCCTTGTTGATGGAACCAGTGTTTAGGAAGAATTGATGTGCAGATGGTGAAACTCTTGCATGTCATAAGAATGAATATGTCTACAGGGTATTGAGAGAGCTGTTCTTTCTCCCTCCTTTCCTTCCTTGTTTTTACTTTCAGAGTTTGCTGCAAGATTGAAGTGTCGAGGAGCATTTCTTAAGCTGTTTTCCTCAGAACACTGGCATGCCATTAGACTTAGATAGCTAATGAGTGGGAAACGCGTTTATGTTAAAATAAGTGCCGGGAATCAAACAGGTTCCTTTGTTGCAGGTCTTTTAGAGCCTTCAGGAGGCTGGTGTTCCCAGTGACTCTCCAAGACAGGAATGTAGTGTGCTGTGCTTCTCCACAGCACAGATTTATTCCACTGCAGAGCCTTTTTCCTCAGGGTTCCTGAGAGCATTTCCCTGCGCATTACTGTTAGGCTACTTAAATGTTCGTATATTTTTAAAAACTGAGTTCAAGCTTCTCTTGTTTAACGACTGAGTTCCATGCTGCGCCTAGGTCATTAAATGAATGGCCTCTCAATGAGGAGCTGTATACAGAATGTACATTACAGTACTGTAGTTTGCCTCATGCTTCAAATGAAATGTGAGGGTTGACCATAATGAAAGGGGACAATCTGATGTTTTTATCCACAGATCTATTTTTGCTGCTCCTAAGAGATCCTAAGAGATGAGAGACCTATTCTAACAACAGTGCTGTAATTTTAATGATTTCTTAATGATCCGATTTATGAGAAAGGGGAATACAGCAGCTATTTCTTTTTGCTTTCTTTCCTCCCAGGCCATCCACTGCAGAGCAGTTCTTCCCTGCCAGGACACTCCTTCTGTGAAACTAACCTACACTGCGGAGGTAAATGTCACAGATCGTTTACTGAATTAAATGATACGTAAGTGTGACGTAAGATAAGCGGAGATGACAATTGATCAGAGCTAGGTGTATTTTACCTAATCAAAGCCTACCTGAAATATATAAAAAAGGGGCTGTGGACCTCATTGTGAATTTCAGCTTTAAGGGTAGTTTTACATATTGTAAATGTGGAAAAAAGAAATGGATACCATTCTCATTTTTAAGGTAGAATTCAGAAATCTGGATCTAAAGATGAGAATTTAACCTCTTTTTAAAAAACTTTTAAAAATTAACGTCTGCAGGATTAAAGTTTCTAAAAGGCATGCTGTAGCTGTGAAGTATCTACCAGGACTCCTAATGGGCATGGAATGCAGACTGGTCTGTGTACATTTAACTTGCTCCTCTCGTAGGTCTAGCAGGGCTTTGGGGAAAAAATGGATTAAAATTAACTCACAAACACCATCCAAGAGGCCAGAGTGGCTTAGATCAAGCAAACAAAGTGAGGACCAACCTATATTTATGGAGGCTTCTTGATTCCCAGATCATCCCACAACCAAACCACATCTAGTAAAGTGCTGTAGAAATATTATTCTTGGAGGCAAGAAACCCCGGAGTTCTGGATTCTTTACCACTTAATAATTGTGTGACCTTGGCCAATCTTACGACTTCAGTTTTCTTACGTACATATCACTCACTACCTATTACAGTTGTCTCATTTCCTAAATGAAAGGCGGAAGTGAAACCAAATTATTTCCTGAATACTAATTGCCATAGCACTGGTTCAAGACCGCCCCCCAATTCCCTGCCTAGATTAGCTCAGTAATTGCGTGGAGTCCCAAGCCATGCAAAAGCAACACAGAAACTGAGCAGGTACGGGAAGGCATGCTTACTAGATCATGAAGGCAGGCGAGTCCTTTATTCTGGCATTGATTAGAAATAAAATTACTTTCAGAGTCGGATGCACATAAGTGAGCCTGTGGATTCCCCTATAAGGCTCTTTTCCATACAGAGTTCTAGAGAAAATGATCTTTTAGTTTTTGTCAATAAATATTAGTTTTTCACAATTACTACCCTTAAATGTTCTACTTACAGCTCCAAGTGTTTTCAATATAAAATTGTCCCAAACTGTATTCTGTGTTGTACAAGTATAGCATTAGTTTTGGAGGTACAGCGTGAAAAGGCTACCATGGCAGGTGTGTACGTTATTTATTCCCATCAGCAAACATACGAAATTGTACCCATATTTGGTGGGGAAGCTGAGGCTTGGGGAGGTTACTTGCCCAAGTCACTGCAATAAGTAGACAGCAGAGCTGAGATTTAAGTCTATAGTTTCTACCACAGCTCTGCTCTTGTTATGCATGTATGAATGAATAGATATTTTACATTCATTTTTTTAAAGAAGACACTTTTATATACTGCTAATTCTGTTTACAGAACTGGTATTTGCATACTTCTGAGTACAAGGTTTGTTTATTATATAGATAGTCGAGAAGGGGGAAAGATTTTGTAGTTTAAGATACAGAAACTCTTATTTATAACTAGAGGTGACTTTTCCTCTTGCTTAGGTGTCTGTCCCTAAAGAACTGGTGGCACTTATGAGCGCTGTTCGTGATGGAGAAACACCTGACCCAGAAGACCCGAGCAGGAAAATATACAAATTCAACCAAAAAGTAAGATCATAACATCTAGATTTTTTCTTTTTGTTGCTGGTGAACTGCAAATACTTTTTACCTATCTAGAGAACAAAGTAACTCTTGAAATACTTCAAAGTTTTAAAAAGCAGCTTTTCTGTTTCATTTCTTCATATCTATTTTTTTTTTTTGTACTTTTAAAGAATTTCATTCCACTTACAGAGGATATTGTATGGAAGAAGGAAGTCGCTGGATAGGCCTAGCAGGCAGGGCTCTGAGTCCATCTACCCCGACTCCAGCACATAGCGGGCTTCCTGGTCTTTAAGTCATTATGTTTTTGCCTGCCCTGGAGTTCCTTATGGGAATGTGGCTATGTAGAGTACTTAAACAGGGAAGAGCTGCCTTAGACCTGGGAAGTACTCTGTTACTGTCCTGTGAGTTAAAGTTGCTAAGTACCTGCTTATGAGGCTTGTATCTTTGATCTGTAGCGAACAGAATGTTCACACGTGTGTGCATATGTATGTGTGTGTGTGTGTCTTATTGGTCTAACACTGAAGAATCTTGCTCCCACCATAGCTTCTGAGATTTCAAACTCCCGTAACTTTGGCATCCACTTACTGTTGATTTAAAACATAAAGAAATTTTTAAAATAAAAGGATTTTAAAAGTCAAGAGAAAAACGATAAGGGAAAACATAAGCTTTCTTTAAGGTTGCTTTTTGAGAAATGCTTAAAATGTCCCTTTAGACTCTGTGCACCTTTGGTTTTCACATGTCAGGTTTTTCTTGAAGAATAAAAGGGCACTAGATGTTTGGAAATGTTTTACACCATAATTTTGACCTGTTTGACCCCTTAAAATGGGAACTACTTGACAAGTGCAAGAGGAATGCAATTCATATTAACTTGTGAAGATTTGAAGGGGAATATGCTTAATTTCAAATACAAATTGTCTGACCGGGTAGCATTCTGAAACACTGACGCAAGCATGTGCTGTGTGTGTTTGTCTCCTGCAGGTGCCAATACCTTGCTACCTGATTGCATTAGTTGTGGGAGCTTTGGAAAGCAGGTGAGCTTTTGAACAAATGTTGAGATTTGTGAAAATATCACTTTAGGCATCTTAAGCCTCTTTTGGGGCTAAATGATATATTTGTGTAGTTTTTAAGATATCAACCTGACAGCTCTAGAAAAATTCAAATCTAATTATAAAAAGTTAGTGGAAAAATCTGTACTATTTGCCCCTTAGATATCCTAAGTAGTGCAGAATGAGCATGCTCTTTAGTTTAATACCTGGATTCTACTAATGTCAGCTTAAACAAGTCGCTTCTCATAATGTCCATTTCCTTATCCTTGAAAGTATGAAATCTGCTTTTCCTACCTTGTAGGGTGGTCATATGAAACAAATGATATAAAATGTGCGAAAGCACTTGGAAGCCTATAAACAGCACAGAAATGTATTATATTTTGTTTTAACAAAGCTGCAGTGTCCTTCCTTCCTACTTTTATTTGTTCTTCTTTCTAAACAATTGAAAATTAAGAATGTTTATAGTAATCGCATTTTTTTTTTTTGCCCCGGTAATCGAACTCAGGACCTTGTACTTGCCAGGCAGGTGCTGTGCTGCTGAGCTATATCCCTGGCCCTACTTCATTATTGCTAAAAATGTGAGCATGGTAGAGAAGCCAGGCAAATAGACCCCGCTTCCGCCTCCTGTAGCTGCTAGCTGAATTCTTGGGAACGCACCGCCTGAGTTTCATTTCCTTCACGTGGAAAACAGAAATAATATTTACATACTTCCAAGGGTTTTTGTGAGAATTAACAGACCTAACATGCATAAAGCTCCTGGCTTATGGAGGCACTCAGTAAATGATAGCTGCAGTAATTGTCACGGCACCTCACAATTAAATGCTGTAATTATGTGTTGACTCTCGAGCGTTTATTGCATTGTATCCTCAGACCTGTGGACTAGAAATAGCTATTATTCCTGTTTTACCAAGAAAAAACTGATGCTCATGAGTTTTAGTGGCTGTCATTCACACAGCCTGGGAATGTCAGAATCAGGACCAAACCAAGGTACAGCACAGACCCCTGCTGTCCAGGAACAGTTACACTAACTGGGAACACAAGGCTGTTGAGTATTTGAAATGCAACTCATCAAAATTGAGATGTGCTGTATATAAGTGTAAAATATGTGTTAGATGTCTAAAGGCCGTATAAAAAATGTAAAGTATCTGCTTAGTCATTTTTATATTGATTACATTGTTCAAATGATAGTTTCGGGGGTCTACTGGGTTAAATAAATGTTACAAAAATTAATTTGTTTCTTTTGCCTTTTAAAAAAATGTGGCTTCTAGGCAATGACTTGCACTTATGGCTGTTACTAAACTCACATTGGTTAACTGTGGCTATCACTGCCACTCACAGAGTGGTCTGCAGACCACTGGCTTTGGCATTACCCGGGAGTTGATTAGTAATGCAAATTCTTGGGCCCTATTCCAAACTTACTAAATCAAAATTTGCATTTTCATGAGCTCCTTAGATGATTTGCATGCACCTAAAAGTTTGAGCAGTACTATTGCAGAGACTGCTACCTCTGGGGCAGAGTATGATGGCAAAATCTTATTTGGGGACCGATGTTACATAAAATTTTTTAAATGAAAGTTAGGTGAAAAAGATGTTTTTGAGTTCTAGCATTATACACATGACACATAGTTCTATGTTTCTTCTCTATTTTTTTTTATTGACATCTTTAAGTGCAGTTGAGTGGTGTTAAGTATATTCACATTGCTGTAGATTTACATCTCCAGAACGTCTTTCTTGCAGAACTGAAATTCACTACCCATGAAACAGCTCCTCTTTTCTCCCTCCCTCCAGCCTCCATTCTACTTTCTGTTCCTATGAATTGGACTACTTTAAATATCTCATACAAGTAGATCATACAGTCTTTGTCTTTTTGTAACCAGCTTCTCTCGTGTAGCATAATGTACTCAAAGTTCATCTGTGTTGTAGCATGTGACAGGATTTCCTTTCTTTTCTATAGGCTTCTTACATAAGAGTGTCCAACTTTTAAATGTATAATTTATAGACATTTGTATATATCCCTGTTCTGAGATAGTCTCTTAGGAGCTGAAGTAGGTTTCTATGGTTGTAGGGTTAGGAGAGAAAACCAGATCCCAGTGATCTTACCAGAGCCAGTAAGCTGGCCATTGGGGGCCCTTCTTCCTTAGAGAGCAGCGTATCCATTGCTGCATGTACAGCAGCAGGTGTATTTCTGAGGGTCCATATAAACTCGTCCCTTCCCCATAGCACAGAGTAAGTCCTAGTCCCCTTTGTATGAGTCTGTGTACAAGACTGCAAGTCCCACCTAGAATCACATTGGTAATTTGCCTTGAACTTCCTTTTCATTAAGTTTTATAATTTTGCAGAAAAATTGGCCCAAGGACTTTGGTGTGGTCTGAGAAAGAGCAAGTGGAAAAGTCTGCGTATGAGTTTTCTGAGGTTAGCCATATAGTTATCTTTTTAAATAATTGTGGTAGTAAATTAAATTGAGTGTGACATAAGGGTTTTAAATGTAGTAAAGGAATCAAGTGTGTCTTATGTGAGTTTTTGTTGCTACATTTGTTTTATCATTTTTTTTCTTTTTCTTTTTCTTTTCCTTTTTTTTTTTTTTTTTTTTTTTTTTTTTTTTTTTTTTTTGGACTTTTTGAGACAAGATCTCACTGTGCAGTTCAGGCTGGCCTTGAGCTCACTTTGTAGCCCAAGCTGGTCTCAAATTTGTAACGATCCTCCTGCCTCAGCCTCCCGAGTGCTGGGATTACAGGCATGCACCACCATGCCCGACTCTGTCATTTTCTTTAAAATAAGAATCATTAACTTGTAAAAACCATATGAAGTAATTTATACTTTTAAGAAATTACTTTGCTAATAATTCATACCCATGAGTATATCTACATTCATCTTTCAGACTGAATCTATGCTTAAAATCGCAGAGGATCTGGGAGGCCCTTATGTGTGGGGGCAGTATGACCTATTGGTCCTGCCCCCGTCCTTCCCTTACGGTGGCATGGAGAACCCTTGCCTTACTTTTGTAACTCCTACTCTGTTGGTAAGTGCAAACATTTCTTCTTTGAAGCTGGGATCTCAAAAATAAGCTTAGGTAGGAAGAACCTTAGACTCCTAGTAATATTTTTAAAAAGATTTCTGCTTCTTTATATAATCATTGCTTTAATTTTATTGCTATTATGGTTACCAAAATTTCATCTTTCAAATAAAATGATTTGGCCATTTTGGGGAATAAGAATATTATGTTCAGGGTATTTGGAAACATTCTGACTAGGGATGCTGTGTAACAACAATCCACTGATTAATTGTGTAGGCGCACAAAGAAGCCATGTCATTTACACTTGGCATATGGGTACTAGTAAAATAAGCCAAAGAAAAAAAAAGCAAAAGCTCAGTGCAACATGTGTAGAGCAGGACTGGCTCTATAGTCTAGTGCTGTGTTTGATATGCCTTGTTAGCTGCCTTAAATGATTAGCAGCTGTAATGGATTAGCAGTTAAGTAAATAAAATGAAGTATATCATAGGACACCTAGAATGCTGTAAACTCTTCTTAAATATGGGTAATAAGGAGAGAGGTGGTAGGTAAATAAGAGTGGATATATAAAACAGAAGTAGGAGAAATATTTCCTAGAGGTTAATTAGAGACAAATATACTGGCCTTTCTGGTATTAGAAAAACTTGCCAGGATTAGAGAAAGAAAGAATGGTGCTGTGTTCCAGTCTTGGATTTTTTTTTCTTCAATACACATCTTTTTTGAATCCTTTAAAGTTCCATAGTAAAAGTGCAGTGAGAGTCAAAGCCAGAATATTAATTGTGGAGGGAGGCAGTGTTTTAGATGTTCCCTGCAATTTGATTACTGACATAATAAGATATTTTCTCTCTTTTTATAGGCAGGTGACAAGTCACTGTCCAATGTAAGTTAAGATTTCTTAGTCTTGCTTTCAAGAAGTATTAAGTAACTGATTTTAAAATACCCACTTATTTTTATGTTGAAGGTGTAGTTGTAAAGGATAACTTGGGGATTATCTCTAAGTTAAGACATTATTATGTTAACAATTAGATTTAAAAGACTTGAGAAGAATTTATGGTTTGATCTCTTTGTATGCTTATGAACTATTTTTATTTGCATTATTAATGCAGTGTTGTATCCATGTAATTTAATATTATCTTTTTTCTAAGTATTTGAACTATGTTGTACTTCTTTGGTCTCTGGTAGTATTTTGCTGAGCTGGGTAATTTCCTGGATAAATTTTTTAAATAACCAAGTAATGAGTTGAAAGGATGAGGGTGTTAAAGTAATGTCTTGTTTAGAGTTTGGGTGATTGGTTTTACCACTCACTGCTTCACACTGTTTCCTTTAGGTTATTGCACATGAAATATCTCATAGTTGGACAGGAAATCTAGTGACCAACAAAACCTGGGATCACTTTTGGTAAGATTTTTAAAAATTCTTTGTTCTTGTTACTGGTTGATTTCTTTCCCTACCTCCCACCATTCTGAATTGTTTTCTGTGCAAATCTTGCTTTTCTGTTACCATCCCTTTCGTAGGCAGAGATTTCTGTTTAATTCTGTACCATTCATCACAGTGTTAAATAGTCCAGGTGTTCAGTTTGTGTGTGTTATTTAGCTCCTGATACAGACACGTGTTTTTATGAGTGAATGTTTGTGATATATAATGAATGTATTCATTATGAGGAGTTGATACATGGACATAACACATCTTAATGCTTTTTATGTCTCCTTCCCTTCCCCTCCCTGTATCTCTTAGATCTTTTTCCTTTTGCAAAAGACCTGTCTCCCTGTTTCCTGTTCATTTATACACTGGGTTTCTCATGTAAGAGAAACCATACACATAAACCAGAACCATGGCAAACTTGTCCTGCTGTCGTCTTCCAGGTGGTCTGGGCTGTCCATGGCTGTCCATGGCTGTCCACTGACTGCTTTGAGTGACCACCCAAGAGCCACACAGGCCACCAGCTGAGACCACAGCCCTGAAGCTTTATGACTGCTGCTTCCCATGAGAGGCACAAAAAAGATATCTTGCTCATTCAATCTACCTTTTTCTCTCAACCGTGACAGGGCTTTAATTTTTTAAAACAATTTTTTCAGGTTAAATGAAGGACATACTGTATATTTGGAACGCCACATTTGTGGACAACTGTTTGGTGAAAAATTCAGACATTTTCATGCTCTGGGAGGATGGGGAGAACTACAGAATACGGTAAATAAATTGAGCTTTTTAAAACCTTCATCCAAAGTTGTATAGCTGTTTAAAAATGTAGTTTGGGAAGTAACGAAAGTCAAAAGTCGTGTTTACAGATGTGGGAAATGAAGCGGAGGCTGTTGGTACGGTATCATTTGCTGCTGGGTGACCTGGCCTGAATCAGGAGGTCATTGAGTTTCCACTGTTAATACAGCTGCCTTGTGTTTGAATTTTATTTACTATATAATGTCCTGTGTAGGAGCTGTCCCCTGAAAGCCAAAGTTGCTGATGAAATGTTGAATCATTTCTCTAGTCTTTGATAAGAATAAAGCCTATTATTGGTCAGGAAATATCAGGCCTACATAAGTAGCCATTATCTTTTTTTTTCTTTTCTTTCCTTTTTTTTTTTTCCAGTACTAGGGGTTGAACTCAGTGCTGTTGCGCTGAGAGCTACATTCCCAGATATGTTTAAAATTTTGAGATGGGATCTGTCTCTCTCTAAGTTACCCAAGCTGAGCTTGAATATGAGATCCCCCTGCCTCAGCCTCCCAGGGTACAAATAGCCATTCTTTAATTAGACTTCCATAAGTTATGGCAACACAGCATAGTATTATCCATGCGTCAATTTGCTTACATCCTAGTTATGTCACTGAATGAAGCGATACTTCCTTACTAGCTTGTTGGCATGGTGACATCTGCCTTCGTATGTGAACGTTCCTCTTACTTCATGTCATGCAGATAAAAACTTTCGGGGAGACACATCCTTTCACCAAACTCGTGGTGGATCTGACGGATGTAGACCCTGATGTAGCCTATTCCTCAGTACCCTATGAGAAGGGCTTTGCTTTACTCTTTCACCTTGAACAACTCCTTGGGGGACCAGGTAAGCTGTTGCTGTTTTCTGATTTTTTTTCCTTTTTGAGGTAATATGAAGAATAGAGAAGAAATGGGAATCGTTGTTCTGCTTTGTTTTATATTGCAGTTCATTCTGCTGGACAATTATTTATCATTTTCTAATGTTCTCTAAAACGTGAATAACTACTGAGTTCTATATAATACTGCTTTACTTTAAAAAAGCTCACTAGTATTTTAGGGATGAGGATAATAATATATACTCATTGAAGAAAAGCTCTGTGAAACACATTTATAAGAGTAACAAGTAAGAGTCCATTACATTATCAACACCCAATCACATAGTAAAACTACCATTTTTTTCTTCTTCACAGTTTTATGGGCAGGGTTGTTTTTACTGTAGATCTTAGCAATCTCAGCATATGATTTTTTTCTTTCCTTATTAACCCTAGAACGTTAAGCTTTCCACTTAAAGGAAACATTCTCTTTGGCATATTTCAGTTGCCCACATTACTACTCTTATACTTTTGTGTCTCTCACAAGAGATACTGTTGTTATGCAGAGGTACCATGGTAACCATGACAACCAGTGTCTCTCATGAGAGATACTGTTGTTATGCAGAGGTACCATGGTCTGACAACCAGTATGGCTACCGAGATGTTTTCAGAGCGAGAGAAATACCACATTCACATAGATTTTATTATGGCATATTGTTATAATCGTTCAAGTTTGTTATTAAGTGCTGTTAATCTCTTGCTAAGCCTTCTAAATTAAATTTGCACAGGTATGTATGTGTGTACATACATATATAATGCCGTATTTAGAGTTTGGTACTATCTATGGTTTCAGACATCTACTGGGGATCTCAAGAGTATGTTCCCCATGGATAAGGTGATTCTACTGTAGTATATATTCTGCACCTGTTTTTATTGTTTTCTTTAGCATTCACACTCTATATAAGTTACATCAGTACACATAAATCTGTCATAGTTTTAATGCCGTCAGTATTTCATATGCAGGTGTGCTGAGCTTGTGTGACCTCCCTCCCAGTGGCCACTGAGGTGGTCTCTTTGTTGACTGACTTTGAAGGCCCTTCCTCCCCTGGGTCCATTCTCTCTCGCTGACCTGATCTTCCCCCTTGTTAGTCACACAAGGGTTACTGCTCGTAGAACCTGTGTTATGTGTTTCTGCTGTGTACCTTCAGTGTGCCACCCCTTCACCTATAAATAGGGTTTCTCTTTTCCCTTCTACCAAGTTGCTTGTTCTGCAAGACTTAGTTTACATCCTACCTCCTCCGTCCATCCTACCTCCTACCTCCACTTTTGCATACTTTCTCTGTCAGAGCTGTCATTGAGTGTTCTCTGTGTGTTCATTACCGATCACAAGAATAGATCAGATAAATTACCTTCCCATGAAGTGATGTCTTTTTCTTTTTAAATTTTTATTCTCAGAGGTTTTCCTAGGATTCTTAAAGGCCTACGTTGAAAGATTTTCCTACAAGAGCATAACCACCGATGACTGGAAGAATTTCCTGTATTCCCACTTTAAAGACAAGGTTGGTTTTAGAAGTTTTCTTCTCTTTCACTTTCATTGTGTCTTTATTTATTGACTCTGTTAGAATAAATGGAATTACTCGTGTTTAACAGTAGTATTGGTTCAGGATTTGCTTTAAGACTCAATTTTCCTATTTGAATTATTTTAACGGAATACTTATAATATATATAAATTTATTTTAGAAAAGAGAATTGGATGAGGTAATATATATATTAATTAGCTGGATTTAATCATTCCACATTGTATACATGCATTAAAAACTCACATTGTACCCCATAAATGTACACAATGATGATCTGACAATTAAAAATAACAATTTTAAAAAGAAAAGAGACTTGGAAATTGCCTTGACCTGGCAGAGAGAAAACTGTAGATTTGAGGATGTACATGTTTGTCTTGGGGCGCTTTTCCCTACAGAAAAAGTCACTCAGTGTCTTCTCACTGTTCACAGGTTGATATTCTCAACCAGGTTGATTGGAATGCCTGGCTCTACTCGCCTGGGCTGCCTCCCGTCAAACCCAAGTAAGTACTTAGCTGTTAATGCACTTTCTCTAGTCCCCTAAATCCTAAAGCACCCCAAAATAACTGCCTTCCTTTGGCCGTTACTGTTAGTGATTTGGACCTTATCCCTGAGGCCAAAAGAATGATTTCCACGATTTATGAAAATAAATAAGTTCCATCCATTGCAAGTAGTTATCGAGTATCCCCATTTGTACAGAGATGCTCAGAGGCTTAGAATAAGCACCGTTCCTTCCTTAAAACTTCTGCAGTCAGAAAAATAACATTTTGAGCCAGGCACTGTGGCATTGTTCCTGTTGTCCCATTTGTGTAGTTGGGAGGCCAGGCAGGAAGATCACTTACGCCCGCAAGTGAGAGGCCAACCCGGGGAACATAGCAAGACCCAAGACCCTGTGGGGAATCGAACCCGTGGTCTTTGCCCTGAGCTACAACCCCAGCTCAGGAAGATGGTGAGAGGTGTGGTGACGAAGAGGCGTGATCGGAGCCGCTCCTGAGCCAGGCAGTCCCGGGTGCCAGAGACTGCGGTAAGGTCAGGAGCTCAGAAGCTGGGGAAATGTGATTTCCACAGGACTGTTTCACATTGTGTTTTGGAAACAGGCAGATGGCACAGGCTCTCAGGAAACTTTTTTACTTTCTAAAGAGAAATCACAAAAATATGCTTTATGTATTTTTTCTAGCACTTCATAGTTCAAGAAGTGCTGCCATATACACGGTCCCTTTAATTCCAACCAGAGATAATGAGCTCCTGGAGTAAAGCAGGGGCGGTGGGGAAAGAAAGAAGAAACTGAGAGGCAGAATCTACTGGCAGCTGACGGACCACAGTGAGCAAAGGAGGAATTAAAGGTGCCTGGGCAGAGTCGTATAGATTCAGTCCACTCCAGTGCCCATTTATTGAGTGGCAGCTACTAATGATGATTGAGGAGCCCACAAAGCGAATACAGCGTATCAAGTAATTACAGTACCATGGAAGTTTTATATATATCTATTAAATGCTATGGGTGAGGAAACTATAGGTGTGGACATTAGCCAAGCAATAAATAAGAAAGAGTACATTATAAGAAGTAATGTTTCGAGCCCTCGTGGATCCCCACCTGAGCGCTTGTGTGGTGGTCAGCTCATGGTCCACGCAGCCGTAGTGCGCTGTACAGTTGCGAGCGGGGAAGGAGTCTGAGAAGAGAAGCGTGGAACTGAATTAAAACTGAGACTTCTGAGACTGATTTCAGTGCCCGGCTTGGAGCCAAAGGTAGTTACAGAAAGTTAAGGAGTAAATATGCCTTTGGCCGTTGATGTGAAATTAAGGAAATGTGGGTGGAAAATGAGTTCTTAAAAGGCTTTTCTCTGACATCACTGCTGTTCCTTTGGGGGCCTCAGTTCATTGTAGATCCCCAAAGATTGCTTCTGAGCAATGTCAGTGTACTGGGAGAACCTCCAAATCATTCATGTGCCCAGGGACCCCAAAGAAAGAAATTCTTTCAGAGCTGCACACCAAAGAAAACACTGTGATCCACTGCAGCATGGAAGGCTGGCTTCTGTCCTGATTTCATATTGTGCTCATTCTTTATGTATGTTAAGTCTTTCCAACCCTACCACCACTCAAGTTCAGTCTCAATCTCCATTTCCTCCTGGGAGGGCACTCTCCCCTCCGAGCTGTACACTTGCACCCATTCTGTCCCTCTCCACCATTCTCCAGACAGTGCTAGCGCAGACCCTCAGAAGGCCAGGTGGATCACAATAGCCCCTGCTTAGCAGCCTTCGCTGGCATCCCACTGGCCTTGGATAGGGCCAGATCCTGTAGTGTGAGAGTCCCCAGTCCCCATCCATGGCCTGTTAGGAGCCAGGCCACACAGCAAGAGGTGGGCAGTGGATAGACAAATGCAGCTTCATCTGCATTCACAGCTGCTCCCCGCTGCTCACATTACAGCCCACGCTCTGCCTCCTGTCAGATCATTGGGCGTTGGAGTCTCACAGCAGCCAAACCCTACCGTGAACTGTGTGTGTGGGGGATCTAGGCTGCGTGCTCCTTTGAGTCCTCTCAAAACCACCCTCACCCCTTCATCCTGTCCCATCTTATCCCATCTGTGGAAAGATGGTCCTCCACGAGACCAGTCCCTGCTGAGAAGAAGGTTGGCGACTGCTGCTTTGATGGACACCACGAGGGTCCTGACGCTACTTCCTGTGCTTCTCTGTGTCTCAGAAACTCTTACACACCCCTCTGCACCTGAACATGTTCTTTCCACTGGGGCACGTCTCAGTTCAGGCACCATTTCCTCGTGGAAGCATTTTTTAACCTCTCTAACCAGGTCAGATCTGTTCAGGAGTTTCCTGGTGCCGCGTATCACCTTCATACTGGGGGAGCACACTTATTTGTGTGACCATGAAAATCTTTCTCCGAACTGTAGCATAAGCACCCTGAGAGCAAGTCTCAAATCTGGTTCTGCACATGACTTTTCTTAGGACTTTACTGTAAATAGGATTGCTTCTTTTCCTGGGGCCCATCCTTAACTTTTAAATTACACTGTAAAGGAAGTCTCAGGACCAAAAAATCCTACCAGCTGGAGGGTTCTCGCTGGCCTGTCGCTGAAATCATTGCTGAGTAATATCTTAGCGGAAGGTCAGTCACAGTCCTCTGCTCCCATTCATGCTCGAGGCAGACACATGGCAAGCCTGCACCCACAGTCCGACGACCTCCATAGACGGGCTGCTGCTTCGGGGCAGGGAGATGTGTCGACCCCTCTCCCCTCACCCCCAAAGAGCAGACAAGGAGCCCAGTCACAGCTCTCTTCCGTGCAGGTTCAGAGGTGACTTCTAATCAAAACTACTTCACGTAGGGCAAAAGGGACAGGTGCCTCTCTGTTCCCTAATGCAGGTGTCTCTCAGCATTCACGTCTGACTTGCGGACACAGAGGAATGTTTCACAAGGACTTTGCACACATGCCACGTTCTCTTCCATTGTTGGGACAGGTACCATTTGCTTTCTAAGCTGAGAACACACATATTGGTGTAACTTGCTTTGCTTAGTAATCACAGTGTGTGGACCCCACATTTTTCTGAAAAGAAAGGACGTACACAATGATGTTGGACTCTCAGCGGTCGAGCATGTAGAGCAGTGCCTGTTGCCTAGCAGGCACTCGCGGATTTGTTTGACAGTGAGACCGTCTGAACCACAGAAAGTCAAATCTGTGCTCATGTTGACTCGGGGGCCTGGACTCCTCCTGCCAGCAAGCGCCAGGAGTGTCCCCTGGGTTCCCGCTACTTTGTCGCACACTTCTCGAGCGAGTGACCACGTTGTGCTGAGACACTTTGCCATTCTCGTGGAAGGACCATCGGGAGTGTCCGTGTGTCTCCCTGGGTTGTCAGGAATTAAATGAGGCCAGTCATAACTAATCAAGTAAAAACTTCCTATTTCTGTCACATTGGAGTTCTACGTCTTTATTTAAAAGGATCTTGGAAATTGAAGAGTTTTGCAGCTTTAAAAAAGCTGCATTTCTGCAAAAGCATGTGCATGTTTATAAATCTTAAGCTTTAACGTTTTTGTCTTTGCAGCTATGACATGACTCTGACAAATGCTTGCATTGCCCTGAGTCAGAGATGGATTACTGTGAGTACGCACTGTGGCTTTTGCCGCTTTTTCTAACTGTCTGGCCTCCTGTGGAGAGGACTCTAACTCATGAGCAGCTGTATTCAGGAAGACTCCGTGAATATGCAGCTTACCATCCTAGCTGATACTATCCCTACCCTCCACGTATAAAATTAAGTTTCATGGGGAAGAAAATCAGGGATGGTGTTAATTCTGGTTTTTCCTGCTTCTTTTCAACCCTAAAAAAAAGGATGCAAAAATATTTAGAGTTTGCCTCTTTTCATTTAAAAATCTGTAAGATCCTAGTTCATTTTTTTTTTTCTGGTACCGGGAACCGAACTCACAACCTTGCACTTGCCAGGCAGGTGCTGTGCCGCTGAGCTAAATCCCCAGCCCCATGATCCTATTTCAAATATAGCAATTACATATACCAGGTCAATGTAGAACGATCTTCAATGGCTGCTAATGCCAACCACTAACACTGGGAAGAACTGGGGGACTTTGTCTTGTTCTTAACTTTGTTCATTTCTGTGAAACTGCTACAGAGTCAGTCTCTCTCCACACACACATGCACAACAGCCCACAGAGAAACCAAGGTGTGCCTCCTTAATCAGAAATGAGAGAAAATTCAGCAGTAATTTTAGTACAGTTATCTGCAACAAATTTTGATGATGATGCCTGAAATTTGTTTTCAAAGTTCTCTCAACCAGTTTTTCTTGGCAGTATGGTGACCCAGGCGATCCAAGGTGCAAAGCCAGAATTGCCTCTGGGGTGTCCCTAGTTTAATTAAAGAAATCCGATTTCCGTGTATCCTAGTGTGTGCTAAGCAGTGGGCGAGGAGCAGCCTGAGAACAGTGTCAGTGTGCTGGCGGGAGGGGCCAGCTGGGCTGAGTGTGGTCTGGGTGGGTGAGGTGAGGGGGACAGTCCGGGTGGAACGGACAGTGCTTAAACAAAGGTCTATATGAAAAGTCACAGCAAACAGTATACTCACGGAAACTTCTTTTTCTCTCTTTTCGGCTTTCCTCTTTATCAGTTCACCTGTTTTTTGATGAGATTTTACAGTGGCTGACATAAAGTCATCAGGGGGTACACACAGCTGACTTAGCTCAGGGTGAGCAGGTGGGAGCGGGACACAGTCCTGGGGTGCGCCCCCTGCGAGTGTCTGCACCCCTGGGCGTCAGGCAGCTTACTTTACGGAGGAGATGTGGAGTTTTGGTTACTCCAGTGAGTCTGGTTTTAGTGCAGCGCAGTTAAGAAAGCTTTGGCTGTATTTATTTATTCTCTGTTTCCTCCGGACTAGAAGCTCCTTGAGAGAAGAAATTGTTTTAATTCCTCTCTGTACCCCGGATCTATCCACGTTAACTTACTGTTGGATGAGTACATGAATTAGTAGAGGGAAGGTAACCTTGTCAGGCTAAAGAATTTAACACACGATCCGCAGGTAGCAGTGGACATTTGAAAGGTTTTGAATTGTAAGTGAAAGGACCCAGACTGTGTTTTAGGACCATTAACCTGGCAGCACAGTTTCTAGAATCAGTTAAGGTGGAGCGGCTGGCTGTGTATCCGTGCACCTTGACTGCGGATATTTTGCCTGGTGTGGTACTGAATTCCGATTAAGGAGTGGTTTAATTCTGTGCTTTTTCTAAATAATTTGGAAAGGCTTAATGATTTCTATCCAAGGAGTACTCTGGTACCACATCTTACCTCAGCTAATGCTTTGCTGTTCTGCCTACATCTGGAACACTTTGTGTGTGTGTGTGTGTGTGTGTGTGTGTGTGTGTGTGTGTGTGTTTCAAAACCGTGTCACAGAAATAAGGAAGAGATATTTGAGAAACAGGATTCATTAACAGTGTGTATTAACATACTCTTTCAATTTGAAAAATATCCAGTGCTGGATAAAACTACTACCGACTTCCGCTCATGTGTTCCTTCAGGCCTCACAGCCAAGATGGATAATTATAGATCATCTGGTGTCAGCAGGAGCTGGCAGTGTTGGGAATAGTGAGGGCCTGGTAATCCTAGTGCTCTTTTCTATTTATATACTTTCTCATTTGTTTTTCTGAAATATTTATATAATAGAAAGGACATGGATAAGGTATAAAAAAATAATCAAGTGAAAAATAATACCTATTTTCTGTACCACAAGCCTAAGAAATAAAGCTTCACCAGTACTGTAGAGCACCCGCCTCCTTGCTTTCTGACCCACCTGCCAGTATGAGCTTTATTCTGACTTTTTATTTTGGTTTACCATTCCCTTACTTGTGTTTTTACCAGTATTAATATACCTTTAACAAATGATTCAGAGTTGCATGCCTCTAAAAAAGGAATGGGACACAGCTAGTTATCCTGGTATTTCAGAGAAGTTCTAAAGGGAAAGGGAGTTGAGATGATCAAGAGGATTCTGAAGGGAAAGTACAAAGTAAATATTTCTTTAAAAGTACGTATGTGGGGCTGGGGATGTAGCTCCGTGGTAGAGCAATTGCCTCGCATGCACAAAGCCCTGGGTTCAATCCCCAGCCCTGCAAACAAAACAAAACAAAAAAAAGTACATATGCATTAATTTTCTCTAAGGACATACAGGAACTATTGGTACCCCTCACTGAGAAATAGAACTTAGGGGACAAAACAAAGGAATTTTTTGTCTTATTTGATTTTTTTTTTTTAAACATTTGTGTGCATTTCTTTTAAAGCTAAAAGAAACTCCAAGGGGCTGGGGATTTAGCTCAGCGGCAAGCGCCTGCCTGGCAAGCGCAAGGTCATGAGTTCGATTCCTGGTACCAGAAAAAAACCCAAACCAAAACAAAACAGAACAGTAAAAGAAACTCCAGCCAGACATGGTGGTACAGGCCTGTATCCCAGCTACTTGGGAGGCTGAAGCATGAGGATTGCAAGTTTGAGACCAGTTTGGACAATATAGCCAGAGCCCATCTTAAAAAAGAAAAGAAAAAAATTTAAACCTTTAGTACAAAGACTTTAAAATAAGTTTTTAAAGATTTTAAGTACTTAAGCTTTAATGAATATTCCTTAATTCTGTCCTGAGAAACTTTTGGCAGCTAATCCCAATTTTAAAATACAGACCTACTTATCTTTTTCTTAGATGATTTCCAAGGTGAAAGGTCAAAATAGAACATGTGGAGATGCAGCAGAATATCACTTTGCAAACTTATCAACCCATTAGAGTGATATTAGAAAGGATATGCAGTTTGATCCCTTACCCACATTTTTGAATTTGCCTATAAATTAGTTGCACGTTTCTTGTGATACTTCTTTGCTTTGGAAATCTCAGAAGCTGAAATGATACAAGGATGTTGATGGGGGAGGGCTGGCTATTCTCCATCTTTACTATTAATAGTCTAATATAGATTTCAGTGATCGTCCACTTTTTAATCTCAAGATTATTTAAGTAGCTCAGGCTTAAATTTATTTCATGTGATGTTCACCTGTGTATTTCTTTATTTTTACTTTTATGTCAGATAAACATAACACCATTCATTTATAACACAAATGGAAATAACCGGGTAACATTTATTTTAGGCCAAAGAAGAGGACTTAAATACATTTAATGCCACAGACCTGAAAGACCTCTCTACTCACCAAGTGAACGAGTTTCTAGCACAGGTGCTCCAGCAAGTAAGTGCCAGCTGAAAACAGCAGAACCTAAAACAGCCACCAACACACAGCGTGTGCGGTATCTTGGGGAAAAAATGCTAATGTGGAAACTTATAGAAGAAAACCTTTTTTTAACTGAAAGAAAGCATTTATTGAACGCTTACTCTGTTTAATATTGCATTAGCTATAAAAATACATAAGGAAGAACATACCTTGTTCTCAAAAAGCTTATAGTCTAGTAGGCAGGGGCGCAGATACAATTTAGCAAGGAAGTGTATTTTAGGGACCGTTTGGAAAACTTAGTGAAGGATGCCTTTCAGCAGGAGGCCTCCTGGGGGGCTCTTGGGGGTGTGAGGTGTGAGTCCGTGTGCGCAGGGAGGGGGATCCCAGCTGAAGGAGCTGTGGGGCTGGGGGAGGAGCTCACTGGAGCCAACCCTAGAAAGGCCGCAAGGACCAGGTGTGATGCTTAGCCAAGAAGTTTATGTTAAAGTCCTTAAGCTTTAATTAATATTCCTTAATTCTGTCCTGAGAAACTTTATTCTGGTCGGTAGGAAAGGGTTGAAAATTTGTGACAGCAAGTCACTTGACAGAATGGTGGGTCTGGAACACCAGTGTCCAGCGCTGTGAAGGTCTCGTAGTGGGTGGGGCGCACTGAGAGACGTGGGGGAGTGAGGGAGGAGAGGCCAGGCCCGACTGGAGAGAGAGTCCACAGGGTGAAAGCAAGGGCTCTGTGAGCCGCCAGATTTGGGGGTGAGCAGGAAGGAGTCCTGGCAGATTCTAAGGCGGACTCCAGGTTTGCAAGAATATAGGGAGCCGGAAGGAGGCGCATCGTGGGAGGGAATCATGACCGGGCTCGCGTATTACCTGAAAGGCGCTCCTCAGGGGACGGCCTCACGGTGGTAGAGATTTGGGACAAATCCGTGCAGAAATGAAGAATGAAGCGTTCTGAGCAGTAAGGGGCCCTGTCGCAGGAGGATGCAATCAGCTTCCAGGGCCTCAGGTCATCACAGTTGCATAACTTTCTGTAACCTGGCGGTGTGGCCTAGGACCCAGAAGACAAAGGCCTAGGAGACTCAGGAAGGATGGGGAAAAGCCTGGGGAGAGTTGGGGTGCCCTTAGGCAGCTGGCGTAGCAGGATGGACTTGCGCTGAGAGTGAACCCCAACGGTGAGTGAGCGCAGAGTGGCCGTGAGTGTGGAGTGACCGTCAGTAAGGCGGAAACTTAAGGAGAGGTCCCGTCTACCTGGTGACACCTCTGCCTGTCCTCCACAGGCACCCCAAACTCTGCCTGTCCAAACTGAACTTGTCTCCTTTATCCCTCACAGACGTGTCCCCCTTTTAGTGCAGGTCACATGAGCACAAGAGATTCATGACCACCCTAACGTGATAGGTAGAAGTCTGTCTTTATGGGGTGAATGGGGCCCCAGTGAGTCCATAGTACTCCCAGATCCTCCAAGGGGTCTGTAAAGCAGTGGTGGGGAACCTATGGCACGCACGTTGTTTTTCCTTTAAGACAAAAAGTGTTATCATATGAGTTGTTTTTTTTCTAACCCAAAACCTCAGTGTTGGGTTTTAATTACAGAGTTGGCACTCTGCGATAAGTAGGTGGGTTTGGAGTTGCAGTTTGGGCACTCATCCCTAAAAGGTTCCCCATCACTGATACAAAAAGTTAGGAACTACCATTTTGCAAGGCTACTGATAATTTAAAAGTGAGAGCAGAGGAAATACACAGAGATAAAGCTGGGGGCATTTGGTGAGGAAAAGATGAAGAGACTGTAATTCAGTCTGGAGAAGGGCATAAACTTAGGCTGTGAGAGATGGAGGGAAGGGCTGGAGAGACCCAGGAAAGGGTCTAGAGGATAATATTTTTGCTAAAAGTCTGAGAATAATTCTCACTTAACTCCCTTAGGTACCTCACAAAGTAAGTTCCCTGTGTGCATACTAGAACATCTTTATCCAGAATAAGTTTGCACAAAATTTACTTTCATTTTCATCTGACTTCCTTCTATATTACAAAATACTTAGTATTTTAATCTGGCTAAGACTTTCTCTCCAGCTCCTTTCTTCCAGGGAACCCTTGAAATGGTACATCGTACTTCTTTATTTCGTTTAGGCACCTCTTCCACTGGGACACATAAAGCGAATGCAAGAGGTGTACAACTTCAATGCTGTTAACAACTCCGAAATACGATTCAGGTACATCATTTTAACCTGTCTCTGTGGAAGAAAGCAGACAGTCATTAAAAGGTGGAGAAAAGGAAAGCACAGTCTGAGACCTCCATGAGTCCTGAGAAATCTTTGTCATCGGTGTAAATAATAATGGTACTATTTAAAGAATCCGAGCAGGGCGTGGTGGTGCACACCCGTAATCCCGGCTCTTGGGAGCTGAGGCAGGAGGATCATTGCGAGTTCAAGACCAGTCTGGGCTACAAAGTGAGCTCAAGGCCAGCCTGAACTGCAGAGCGAGACTGTCTCAAGAAGACAAAAAAAAAAATGAATCCGTAGTTGCATTGTCTCCCAGATGTTAATATTAATCTTTTTGTTAGACTTTGTTTTAACCTGCTCTTGCCTTTAAAAAAACTTAGAATGAAGGATTCAGTAGTAAATGGTCTTCCTTTCATCACCAGCCAAATCACCTCCAAAACGGCAATAGTCAGAAACCTGTGGTTCTATGTCCCCTTTCTTAATTCAGATTTGAAGTTTAATTCCTCCAGAAATTGCATTTATAAGGTACACAAGCACCCCCATAATCCAAACTATTAAAACACATGATCATCTTCTCCCACAACTGTCTCCTAGAACCATATATATATATATATATACACATAGATTTGAAATTCTCAGAGTAAAGACAAAGTGATGCATAACATAACTATGTTAGGATTATTCGTCTTTGATAGTAATATTTGCATATACTCGTTATTTCCTGTTCCTTCCTCTTCTTCCTCTTCTTCCCCACACCCCCTAAAAACCTTCCCTTCAGATGGTTACGGCTCTGCATTCAATCAAAGTGGGAGGAAGCGATTCCTTTGGCTCTAAAAATGGCAACTGAACAAGGAAGAATGAAGTTTACACGTCCTTTATTCAAGTAAGACCAAATCAAACTATGCTTCCTATTTATACAAGGGACAGGGAAGAAAAATCTTAAACTTTTTTTATTGCTAAGGTACTCTGAAAATATAATCTGTATTTTGAATTTGTTAAAGTTTATTATTGATACCATTTAGGAATAAGAATTCTTATTTCTGAATATGGGATAAATTTATTAGCTAAAATTGGAGTAATTTTATTAGCTTTTTAAGAAGCATTATATGTGGATTACCTATTACGATCAAATAGGGTTAGACGCTAATGGAAAGAAAATAAGCCAAAGCCAGATGTATAAACCAAAGGATTTTTAAAAGAATTAGAAGATATTGGTTTAGGCGGAAAAAAAAAGGAAAAAAAAAGGAGTCTAAAACTAAATGCAAAGACAAATGAGCAAATTAAACAAAACCTTTTTCAATTCAAATGTTGCTAAGAGGTAGAGTAGGCTGCTTGAAATACAATAAAGGAATGCTGGATAAAGGGGAAAAGTTATATTTTGGCAGCTAAAATAATTTAAGAATATCTCCATGCAATTCATTGCCTGTGTGTTTGTTTTGTAGTCTGAGAAAATACAATCATGATGTAAATACCTATGATTATCACACTTGTTTTTCATTTACTTCACAAGTACAACAATATTCAGCAATATAAGTCATTGTCCATTTTTTAAAATGTGGCCACAAAATTAATTTTAAGTGAGGTATTTCAAAGTATATTTTATATGTTTTCTATAGTTAAAACCCACCTAGCTTTGAATTGAGTACAGTATATTTTAAACAGGTTTTAAACAAAAATATACCTTTTTCTGGAAAAATAAATATTTCTGCTTTATGATTTACAAGTAGCTATATTTAAAATAATCAATCCTATATTTTCTGTGGTCATTTCAATTTATGTACCATTTTTATTTTACGATGGTTAGTATCTACTCTGAATTGGTTGACATTTTCAGAAGTTCTTTCTACACATTTATATTTTTATACTCTTAAAATCTGTGACTGCCAGTGTGAGGCTCAAAGGGTCCCGGAGACAGAGGCTGCGGCAGGGCCTCCCGATTGCCTGGGCCCTAGGCCTTCCTGGGAGATAGGTAACTTTCACCGTGGCGGAACTTCCGGTGTTGACTTGTGTTCCTTCCTGTTCTCCCTCCACCTCCACCTCCATCTCTCGCTGTCCTGTGTCTCTGTCCCTCCCACACCACCCCGTTTTTCCTTTTGTATTGGCAGGGACCTGGCCGCCTTTGACAAATCCCACGACCAGGCCATCCGCACCTACCAAGCGCACAAGGCCAGCATGCATCCTGTGACAGCCATGCTCGTGGGGAAGGATTTAAAGGTGGATTAAGGACCTGCCGTGTGCTGGTTTCAGATACTTGTTTTTTAAATTGACTTCATGAAGAAATATAAAACTTCAACTCATATTGTAATTAAAAATGTCTTTTTAGTTTTGGCTTTGTATTGTCAGTGGTTTTTCTGAGTTTTGCTACTTTTTTTTTAACTAGTGGTATAGTGTTTGAAAAGTAAATTTTAGTGAGCTTTGATCTTTTGATTTACAAGTCTAAAATTTTTAAGTTAGTTTTCCCCCCACAGCCGTGAAGTGTGTCAGCATAGTCTTTAACTGATTTGTTCTGAAGCTCTTTCACCTGAATCTTGTACAAGCCCCAAACTCAGCATAGTGAGGGTTTTAAGTTTTAGCCTCAAACGTGAACACTCACCACCACCTGACAGACCCGGGATGGACTCCTCTTCCCACACGGGGACTCTAGCTGTGACCTCTGCCGCCCTGCCGTGGAGCTCCCCTGCTGATGTGGTGCACTTGTCCCGGTGTCCTCCGTTCAGGGGTCCGATGGCTGCCCTCGGGGTCAGCACCTCCCACCTACCCTGCTCATAGCCACCTGACAGTCTGTTGGCCCCACTGCCACACTCAGACATCCTTCACCACCCAGAGCACACGGCCTGTAGAATCACACCCGGAAACTGAGGACCCTTCAACCGTGAGGGCAAGAAGGACTGAGCACACCTGTGAGCGCAGCGCGGCACCCCGGAGGACCTGAGCTTGCTGTTGGGGAACCACAGCTGTCTTAGTTAGGGTTCCTTGGTCACCAGTAACAGCAGCCCGAATGACTGATTATGTGAAGGATGCAGGTGCGGGGAGGGCCTCGGACCCCGCAGACAGACAGAGGGGCCTGCGGAGGTGCCGGGTCTGCAGTCTCCACTCCGCTGCTCTAGTCTGGACACCTCCAGCTCTGCCGAGACAAATGGTTGCTACCACAAGGGGACGCCGTCTCACTGCCAGATTCGCTGGCCCTGAGACTGACGCAACTCAGGTGAGACTCAGACGCGGGTCTGGCCCACCCCTGGCCACATAAACTCTAGCCATGGGGAATAGTATCTTAGAGAATAAGCCAACCGAAAGTGCTGATGAAGTGACAGAAGTCCTAAAATCCATGGGGATGGTGACCCATGGCTGGAGTCCTGGGATTCTCTCTTCTCCACTGTCCCTTGGTGCTGGGTTCTGGCTCTGCTCTCACTTGCCCCCCTTGGCATCCCCCAGAGGAGGGAGCCGCCCGAATCCTGGTATAGAATCACATTCAGCAAATCCGTGATCAGAGCTCAGCAAATCCCTGCACCTAAATAATGCTTTGTGAGGCTGCTTCTGCCCTGTGAGCATCCGAGACGCTAAGCCGCTGCTTCCCGGCACCCACCAGTGATTCTGAAAGTGAGCTGAAGCAAGGGGTGTGTGAGGAGGTGTGGCACAGTGTTATGCCGAAGGCAGAGGGTGCTAAACACACACTTATCCTAGCCAGAGGGCTACTGAGGCCAGCTCAGCGGAGTCCACCCTGACTCGGTTTGGCTCATAAGCATATGCTGAGTGTCTTTGTGTCAGATCAGATATGCAAGGGGCTACTGGGTGAGCAAGGTCAGTTTTAGGTAGTGCCAAAAAATCAAGGGAGGTGGGAGCTGCCTCATCTCCCGGCTGGGGCGTCCCGTGGTTAGCATTTCCATTCCTCATGGAGGGTTGCAGGACAACTTCGTCTAAGTCTGTGTCCGTCCGCAGACAGCAGCACGAAGGCAAGGAATGTGTCTTACTGATTTCATCCCAGCCCCTCACGTAGAGCTTGTCATAGAGCAGGTGTCCAAGAAATATTTGTTGACTGCACAAGTGAATGGAGGAGCCAGGAAGAAGGTGACTCACAGCCGAGGGCTTCCATCTGCACATAGACACAGGAGACCGAGCCAGGCTCTGAGATCAGACAGATGGGTGTTGGGGGTAAAGGCTCACCCCACTCCCCCATGCAGAGGGGTGCATCAAAGGGCAGCACCACAACTTTGTACGGCCACGGGACATCCTCCTGCCTTGGTGAACAGAGGTGGTTTGGCCTGAGGACCCAGGGCATGGGCTCCACCCGAGTGCAGGCGTGGAGTTAGGGCTTGCAAACACCTTGAATGTGTTTGGGGCAGACTGGTCCAGGGGAGCGGCGAGGACAAGCTTCCCAGGAAAGTAAACGAGGAAGCGGGCGGGGAGTGGTAGCAAGAAGGGCGGCGATGACAGGGGAGGCTGGAAGGTGGAGGTCAGGAGTGGGATATCAGAATGTAAGATGACATCAGATTCAGGCAGCAGTAACTCCAAGCTGCAGGCCAAGTGTGGGTGGTGGACGGGCAAGTTGTAATTAGACTGTAGGTCGCTGTCATCGGGTGAGAGACGGGACGCTGACACAGGCGGCTGTGTCACTGTCCAATGAAGTCTGCGGTCGTGGAAACAGACAATTCAGGATTTTCTCCCGCAGTAAAGCCCTGTGATCTGGCTTTTGTTGAAATGCTGCTTAGTTAAAGCAGTGCACGTCTCTCTGTGGCTCCTTTTTCACGCAGGTCAGAGTTCTTCCGTGCTGGTGGTAATGAACTGGGCGCACGGAGCTGTGACTCCCTGGTGAAGCGCAATTGGATTCGTGTGTAGTGAGAACCGCCCCTGGAACCTTAGCCAAAGTAGCTCTGTCCTGTAGTGCACACTCCTTCCCCAGCCGTGCAGGGGCCCCCAGTCCCCGGCAGGTGCTGAGGTTGCAAGCCAGGCTGCAGCATGACCAGGTCACCCACCAGACAGTGGCCACCAAACAGTGCCTCCTGATACCAGCAGCACTTCCTGAGGCGGATGGGATGGGAGCACACAACTTTCCCCAAGGCCCTTCTTGCCTTCAATCCTGCTTTTGCTGTTTTAATTAGTGACCTAGAAAACCAAACGCCTAGCGCGAGGGTGGGCAACTTCCACAGCACCACAGCCCGCAAGTTGTCCGCTGGTCTGTACGTAACCCCTAATCAACTTAGTTACTCACCGACTGGACTCATCCGAGTTGTTCTTTGGACGGTCAGCCCTCTTTTAGTTTGGAGGCAGAAGTTTCTGGGAAATTTACATAATTAGGAATACCCAGGTGCCAAGAAGAAAGAACAGTCACAAAGCAATAGAGGTGATACAGAATATTAAAGTCCAGGTGATCATAACCACAAATTCTACAACCTTTCCAGCATCCGCATGCTGTTCTAAGGACTTTCCCTGGATGAACTCCCCTTATCCTCCCAAGAACCTTTAGAGCAGGTACTATTATTATCCTCGTTGCATAGACAAGGGGAGTGAGGCTCAGAATAATTCAAGTCACTTTCCTAGAAGTCAACCAGCTAGGAAATTGCAGAGCCAGAGTTTGATTCCAAATCATTGCGCGGAACAGTGAATGCCTTTGACTGGAGAAACAGAGACTCATCACTCACTAGCCCGAGGCCGTTAACTGTGGGACCCCTGGGGCGCAGCAGTTACCAGAGGGTGACCTTTAGTTGTGAAAACGATCCCTGGCCTTTGCAGGCTTTCTTTGTGGAGCAAGAGTTCCGGAAGGACTTAACTGTGGCAGGGAGTCGTTGCTCAACGCGTGTTTGTGGAACAAACAAATGAATAAAGATTGCCACACTGCTGGGTGTCACACTTGGCCATCAGGGTGCATTTTACAGTTGAGTAATTCCAGATAAAGTCAGGAACATGGTGTTTATAAGCTGCCCTTCGTGGAGAATGCAGACAGAGGGAAAAATTGGGGACCTTGACCAGAGGGGTGGAAGATCCCAGGCCTTTCTGCCCACAGGGCCGGATCGCAGACGGACAGACACCAGCCGGCACCCCTTCTGTGCCTCTTAGCTACAAAAAGCCAAAGGAATACCAATAAATATTTGTCCAAGGCCTGAATGAGTAAAGGCGAGGGAAGGGGTGTGTTCTGAGAGCCCATCCCCACCGACCACACCTCTGCAGTCCCTGCTGGATAAAAACTCCTCCTCCTGCCACTGTGTCCCAGGAGCAGCAGCAGGCCTGTGGCAGCGGCCTCCAGGGCCCCGGCTGCAGAGCGGAGCCATGCCCAGGTACACGGTGCACGTGCGAGGGGAATGGCTGGCCGTGCCCTGCCAGAACGCGCAGCTCACTGTGGGCTGTCTGGGCCGCGAGGCCGTGCGGCGCTACATGAAGAACAAGCCCGACAACGGCGGCTTCGCCTCCGTGGACGATGTCTGCTTCCTTGTGCGCCGGTGCAAGGGCCTGGGCTTGCTGGACAATGAGGACTTGCTGGAGGTGGCCTTGGAGGACAATGAGTTCGTGGAAGTGGGTAAGTGGCTGCAGGGGAGAGGCTGACCTGGTGACATTGGAGTGTTGTCCTTACAGACCTGGAGGGGGGCTCCCTTGTCACTTGCATTTCTGGGACAAGGACAAGAAGTAGCATTTGTTGAGCCCTTGCTCCGAGTCAAAGCTCTGGTGTCAGAGTCTCACCCAGCCCAGGAGACAGGTAGTGCTCTCCTCCACCTTTGACACCAGCAGAGACACAAAAGCAGGACTTACAGGCAGCTAGGGAGGGACAAAGCCTAGGCTCGACCCCAAGTATGCAGGTTTGAGACCCTTTGCAATTACCAAGTCATCTTAAAGCCCTTTCACCCTTCGACAGACCTCACAGGACCGAAAGCCTTAAAGCAGCACAGAAGTATGGGGATTCAGATTTCAGAGACCACACAGCGGGATTGGGGAGGGAGGTAGGCTCCGTCCTGAGCTTCCATTTAGACCAAGTGTCTGCATCTATGCTTTTGCTCTCCTGTGTGAAGATGCTAAGGCCACTTGAAAGCCCCAGAAGTCATTTTAAAGCTGCTGTTCCTATCAAATCTATGTGCTGAGATTTCTAAGGTCTCTCTTTCAGTCATAGAAGGCGATGCAATGTCACCCGATTTCATTCCTTCCCAACCAGAAGGAGTATACCTGTATCCTTTCCTGCGGGCTCTTTGGTCACCTCTGGGGGGCCGGGACTTTTCCACACTGCCCAGTATTTTCCTTTACCTGGCTTCAGATACAGCAAGTACCGCGAGCCTGAAAAGGTAAGCTGCAAACCACTTCCTTTTTCACTGAGAAGAGCAAGTCCCCCATGTAAGGAGACAGTGGGCTGCATAAACAGGATGTAAAGCAGGCTGCCTAGCTGCGCATCAGGACAGGCTTTATCAGTTCTGTGAAGCAGGGTTAGGAAGCCTGGAAAGGGATTGCCCAACTTCCTGGAAGAAAGCTATCTTTTTAATTAGCATATTAATTTTTTTAAGAGAAAAAAGCTAAAAACAATGATACAAAATTTCAGAATGCACATTAATGTTTCACAACACTAGTGAAATCTCCAAAGGGTCAAAATGAGATTCTGCTTAATTATAGAATGATTAAGTTGTTCACACTGACTGAGATCCCTTTTTGCGCAGTATATCGATTTAGACGGGGACAGCCTGACCACGGAGGATCTGGTCAACTTGGGAAAGGGACGCTACAAAATAAAGGTATGGGCGAGGGAGGGAGGGAGGGAAGAAGTTTTGGACATTTCCGCTGGACACGAAAGTCATTAACATACATGGTTCTGACCACATTTTCCTAGCTCACTCCAGTTGCTGAGAAAAAGGTCCAGGAATCCAGAGAAGTCATAGACAGGATCATAGAGGAAAAAACAGGTATCTTTTTCCTTTATGTTCTAAAAATCTTTTCACAGACCAAAAAAAAAAAAATCCCTCCTGCATCTAATTGCACAATGTCTGTTTTTTATCCTAGTTGTTTACGGCATTACTACAGGTTTTGGGAAATTTGCCAGAACTGTAATTCCTGTCAGTAAGCTACAGTAAGTTTGAAAAACACGTATGTTCATGTTCCACCTTCCTTATCTTTGAGATTTTTTTTTCAACAAGGAAAATCACTGGCATTTGCCCCAGTTTACTGATGAGCAGGGAGAGCATTGAGGTAACCTGTACGCAAATTGGTAGTGAAAAAGGGTTGGTGTCTTGCACTGCATCTGCCAAGGATCTGTCCTTCCTCCGTCTTCCCAGCAGAGGAAAGATTTCCACCTCCACGCATCTAAGAGAGTTTCTACCTTTCTCTTCCAGGGAACTTCAGGTCAACTTAGTTCGCTCCCATTCCGCAGGTAAATCATTCAAAGTGCCAGGTGCCTCCTGGCTCCTGTTGGATTAGATGAATAAAGCACACAGCGCGGTGTGACCCCTTGGCCGCAGCCAGCAACAGCTAGTGTGTCGCAGCACATTCCCAGGGCAGGTGCTGTTGCAGGGGGAGGGGCAGAAGCCTTAGGACCACATGGCTTTTTTCTGCTGAAGCTCGGAAACCGGACTAGGCTAAGCAGAGGGATGGACTTTGGAGGGGAGGGTGGCCGCATACTGCAGACAGGGTGGCGGATTCAGGGGAAGGATGAAGGCAGGAGCTCGGGGAATGAGTCAGGACGAGCCAGGTGAATGGGGAAGTCTGTCACATACTCTAAGCTGAGAGAGTTTGTGCCAGGGAGCCTGACGCTATTCTAAAGAGGTTCAGAGGGTAGGGGTCCCTGAAGCATCGCTGGGAAGGGAACTGAGGCTCTATCTTTGTTGGGAAGCCGATGCTTTGAGAAGCGAGACACCGTGGGAGAGCCCTGTAGCCAGCGGCAGCATGTCCAGAGAACCCTGGGAAGAGGGAAGGACTTGAGGGATGAAGCCCACCGGGACGTGGGAAAGGGTTTGGTTTTCCTGGAGCCAATGCCAGTGTTGCTTTGTAGGTGTTGGAAAACCATTCAGTCCTGAGAGGTGTCGGATGCTCTTGGCACTAAGGATCAATGTCTTAGCCAAAGGATACAGTGGCATTTCCCTGGAGACCCTCAAACAAGTTATTGAGATATTTAATGGTAAGGTGGTGAATCCCGGGGCCAAACTTCCGCAGAGGCTGGGTGTGTCCTGCAGGGTGGACTTGACTGCCTCCGTACTGAAGGGCTGGCTGAGATAAGATGAGTGGCAGAGGACAGCGAAGCGGAGGACAGCTAGGTGGAGAGAGGGAGCAAAAGGGGCAGAGATAGTCCTGTGAATTATAACCGTCCTACGGCACCCTTCACTTAGCATTTGACAGCTGTGAGACTAGACTGAAGCTGGGTATGGCGGCACACACCGGTAATCCCAGCACTTGGGGGCTGAGACAGGAGGATCAAAAGTTTAAGGCAAGGCTGTACTATAGAGCCAGACCCTGTCTTAAAAAAATAATAATAATAAAAATAAAACAAGCCCTTTAAGTCTGGGCTGGACAGAACCTTTGATTCAGTGGTGTCCTTGTGATTACGCATTTGCATCAAATCACGTGGGGACTGTAATGATTCTGGATGGTGTCCACCCCAAAGACCACTTCAGTAATCCCAGCGGGTAGCTGGAAATCTGAAATCTTAATTCTCCCCAGGTGAGCTTCCAGCTAGATTTGCACACTGAAATCCAACCTTTTGCTAAGATAAGATAGAAATGTAGAGGGGACACTCATTAACCAGGAAGCCGCGGCAGTGGCAGCATATGATGCAGCTCGGCCCTGTGGCACCTCCTTCTTTGATGAGAGACTGGATTTGCAATGCTTGAGGGGCGCTGTCCCCGCTCACATATCAGCGCCATGAGGCAAAGGAGTAGGAGGGGCAGAGCTGTGCAGTCACACAGAGCGGACCTCGTGCTCAGCTTCCTGTGCTAGGGGCACGCGTCACTCACACGTACCACTTGCCAACCAGTGAAGGGCAATGTGATGCCCTTCTAATGGAGCCCTATTTCGGTGATTCGGGGGGAATTTCTCATAAAATAGTACATGTTCACTTATAAGTGGTGCCAAGTTCTGTCTTAGTTACTTTTCTCTCGTTGCTGAGACAAAGCACCTGACGCCCAAAATGAAGGAAGGAAAGGTTTATTTAGCTCACAGTTTGTGGAGGTTTCAGTCCGTACTTGGCTGGCTCCAAGGCAGAGTGGCACATGGCAACGGGCAACTGTTCATGGAGGTGGAAAACAGCAAAAGCAGCAAGAGCAAAAAGGAGGCGTGTGATAGGTTGGCAGATTGTGGGACTGGCAAAAAAAGAAGACTAAGTTGCCTGTGACTTTACCATCCCGAGGAACCCACGTTAACACTTTGGGGACCTGACCTTCTAGAAGATGTTGCATGAATGTTTTAAGGTAGACATTTCTGTGTTTCTAAACACTCTCCAATAGCTTTTGATGGCTACATACCATTTGATCACAGGGGTGTCCCTTATTTCCATATTTAGGTCATTTCTAAGGTCGAATTCTTATAGGCAAGGCTGTAATAAGCAACACCTAATTCATTTCCTACTACCTATCATGTCTTTGCGATGCATCATTAATTTCTAGATGTAGGGGCTGGGGATTTAGCTCAGCGGCAAAAGCGCCTGCCTGGCAAGCGCAAGGTCGTGAGTTCAGTTCCCGGTACCAGAGAAAAACCAAAAAAAAAAAAAAAAAAAAAATTTCTAGATGTGGAATTATTTGCTCAGATTAGTGCTTGCACATTTTGAAGACTTCTCTGTGGGGGTGGGAAGGCCTCCTTCCTTCCCTCTTCCCTCCTTCCCTCCTTTGCTCCTCTCTTTCCTCCTCTTGTCCTCCCTGCTCCCTAGCCCTCTCTTTGTGTAGCAGCTCAGCTGGGTCCCTTAAGCATCTGCTGTGCTTAAGGAATTGTCTCTGCACAGATAGTTATGCCATAAAGTGACCCTCGTTGTAGGAGGGGCGGTCTTCACTAGTGACACAAGGATCACCAGAACCAAGTAAGTCCCCTTGAAGTCACTGGTGCCTGCTTCTCCCACAGCCTCCTGCCTGTCCTATGTCCCAGAGAAAGGAACCGTGGGTGCCAGTGGAGACCTCGCCCCGCTCTCTCATCTTGCTCTTGGGCTAATTGGAGAAGGGAAGATGTGGTCTCCGAAGAGCGGCTGGGCGGATGCCAAATACGTAAGACTTTTATAACAGCGCCTGTCCACAACAGACACCGGGTACTTTTGTGTGCTTTCTGTCACTTTAGCTTTACAACAGCCCAGTGAGGACGACCCTTACAGGAGTGATGAGGCAACTCCACCATGGAAGTCAAAGTACGCAGGGCTGTTACCTTCCGTGGCTGTCAGCTCCCAAGATTTGGAGGCCACGTTGATGAAAAGATACAGCTGTTAGCATTACTCTAGGACCTCTGCACCCACAACACTTCCAGAGTCCGTTGGTCACAACTGTCATAAAATTATACGCAGGGGTTGGTCCTCTCCAGTGCAGAGCTGTGGAGCACCGTTCTTACGTACTCTGGAAAGCAGGTTCTATTTTTCCCCAAGCTCCCTCCCTAGTAGCTAATCAGAAAAGCCTGTTTTCCATCAAGCTTTATTGCTTTCTTTATCCATCTCCAAATTCTCTCAGGGCAGCCCAAAGCATCGTTTTACAGCACCTGCCTGGCAAGTGCAAGGTCGTGAGTTTGATTACCGGTACCAAAAAAAAGCATTATTTTAAGAGTTATTTCTGATCAGTTCCTGGGAGGTCATGTAACAGTGAGTAAAAGGGCAGAGGGCCAAGGAGGAGGAATAGATTAAGGGACTAGATTACCCTTTGGGGCACATGGTTCCAGGTCATCTGTGCTGCCTCTTCTTATGTCTCTATGGAGAGTGTTTCCCTAACCACCTTCACACGACCACCAGCCTGACCTTTCTAAACAGCCAGTCCACGCATGCTCCGGTTAAATCTGCAGTGCTTCACCTTATCCTTCTGACTTACAGTCCAGACTTAACGTGGCCTCAGAAGTCGTGTTTGTCCTGTGATCCTCTAATCCCTGCTACCCACACTCTCTATCACTGAGACCAGAGGTTGCCTGCTGCTGGAACGCGCTGGAATGTGCTGGAACGAGCTGGAATGCGCTGGAACGCGCTGGAACCAGGCAGAGGGCCTCGCACAAGCACATTCCTCCCCTCCCCACCTGCCTCATCCCCACTTCTCCTTCCAGACAGCCCGCTCGGAAGCAGCCCTCTCTGCTCCACTGGTCCTTTTCTCTACCTCCCTGCAAGTCCTTTGGTGCCCTATTTCCTGCTCTTGCAGCAGCGTATGTGATGAGTTTCCATTGTCTCCTTGTACTTCCAACATCCTGGAGCACCCAGCACACTGTTACCCTAATTGCTCCTGAGCTTCTCTGGCTCTATTGTTCCTACTCAGGCCCAGCCCAACACCCCGAAGAGGGTCTGGCGTGCAACAGGTACTCAAACCTTCCCGTGCAGTGGATCTCCTCCAGGAGTACTGGCTCTGTCTTTTTCTGGCTTTAACTTCTTCCTTCATCCCGAGAGGGACTTTAGCTCAATGACTCCTTTTGCTTCTTTTACCTCAGGGGAAAAGTATGCTTCTCCTTTCCTCCAGGACCCTGTCTCTGTGTGGTAGAGGGGATTCCACACCCCCTCTTCACTGCTGTGCACAGATTTGCCACCTATAGCTGGCTCGGAGGGGCTGCCGGTATTTAGAGAAAAGAGAAAGGAAGTCACAGGACTTTTTAGGTCAGGCTGTGGGGGCAGGGCACATGGATCTAAAGTGAGGAGCCCAGCCTTAGCCTAGGGCAGCTATGTCTGCAACCAACAATACAACAGGTAAAGGCGGAATAAAAATGACCTAGAAACCAAAATTGATTGTGTAGATGATAGCTCTCACTGTATAAGCACAAAAATTATTTGGAAGATAAGTTTGCTTTTAGACTAAAAATCAGAACTAGAGACTAGAGCAGAAAACATGAACGCAACCAATTTGTTTGCACCTAATCTTTTGCAAAATGAACTCTGGGACATACATAAAGATCTTTTACAGGATTCCATATGAAATCAGTAACAGGTTGATAATGCATTTGATGCCCATGTTCACACTTTAAATCTTTCTATAGGTCCTGCAAGCCCATGGACTAAAACCAGTTGTTTTGAAACCAAAAGAGGTAAGGAGATTGCAGGAAAATTTGTTCATGCTAACAAGTCTTTATGTGTGCACTATGTTCCTACTTATGTCAATCTCGCTGTCTCCTTAAAGCAAACACGACTAACATGTTGGCGGAAAGATGCTCACGGAAGAAAAGGCCCTCCCATGAGCCTTTAAAAGATTCTTCATGCCACAAATGTTGGGGATTGTCTTAGGAACTTAAACTTCAAATCCAATTCTCTAAGCACCCCTCAGAGATGCTGCTGTGAGCCCAAAAGTCTTGGGCCGGCACTGTTTTTGAATATCTCACCTACAACTGTGAGACATTAAAGAAGAAATGTGGCGTAATAAAGAGGTAGCAATTGTATGTGCGGGCCCTGCTCTAGAGCTACATGGCTGCCTTGAGTATGGGGTCACCCTGTAGATATTCTGTTGGCCAGATTTGTGCTAATAGGGTCACCCTGTAGGTATTCTGTTGGCCAGATTTGTGCTAATAATTTCCCATCTGGTGTCGCACATTCCTCAACTGTCTGAGGAAGCCTCACTGCCCTGCACTTTAAAAAACACAGACAAATAATTCTGCTGACCGGCTAATGTCTCTTATGAAAGCAAAGTACACGAAACCCGCTTATACGAAGGGTTATTACAATAGACTTGGGAACTCTTCTCTCCTTCCCCAAAGGGCTTAGCGCTCATCAATGGGACGCAGATGATCACATCCCTGGGCTGTGAAGCTGTTGAGAGAGCCAGTGCCATCGCCCGGCAGGCTGACATCGTGGCAGCCCTGACCCTTGAGGTGCTGAAGGGCACCACCAAAGCCTTCGACACTGGTCAGCAGGGTTCTCCCACTCAGTTGTTCATTCAGCCAAAGCCGTGGGACTAGTTGGTTGAGGTCTTTAAAGTCGAGTGGTTTGGAAGATGGAGAAATCCCGGGTTCCCATTGGCACCCAGTACTAGGAGAGCCTCCTCCGAGTTCTGCCACATTCGGTCCTTCCAGTGACCGCATTTTGCAGACACTGACCAGGAGGGTTAAGTGACTGGTTCCACATCACCCACTGTGTCAGTCTACGTGTTTTAGGAATCTTCTTGCAGGACTTTAAAACTAGAGCTGGATCAGGATTGGCCTTGATTAGAAAACTGGAAGGGGAAAACTACAGAACTATAGGAGCAGCTTGCATAGAACATAGTGAATTTCTTTCTAGAGTGAGAAGTAGGACTGTCTAAAACTGACTTGGTTGAGTTAGGTCACTATTCCAGTTCCCTGCTATTATTGACTCAGTTCTTTTAAAGGTGGGCCTAGTGTCCTGAGTTCAATTCCAAGTGAGCTCAATGCATAGTTTATACTCAGATGTTTAAAGGAGAAAGAATAAAATCTGTAAGGATGGTTTCACTTTTGGAATCAACTTTCTAATTTTGTGTGATGGGTGAGGCCCCGTGGGACTTTTGAGGGTACCAGCACCTTGAGTAGCTCATCGCAGTATCAGAACTGCTCAGACCTTCCCCCCTTCCCCAATTCCAGACATCCATGCTGTTCGGCCCCATCGTGGGCAGATTGAAGTTGCTTTTCGATTTCGGTCACTCTTGGACTCGGATCACCACCCATCGGAAATAGCAGGTTTGACACATTTGCATGAGTGGGCTTATTCGGTTATGTATTCCGTGGAAAGAAGTGATAATTTGTTCCTCCCCCTCTCTCCCACCTCTCCCACAGAGAGTCACAGGTTCTGTGATCGTGTCCAGGACGCGTACACCTTGCGCTGTTGTCCTCAGGTAAAATCAAAAAGCCAGCCAGGGCTCTTTGGTTTCCTCACGTTCAAGGGAGAAAAATAAAAAAAGAGGAATGTCTTAGAAAATCATGTCATGGCCAATTATACACCAAATTTTTCTTTACTACCTCCGTTAAAAATTCTGTATGTCATAGTTTCATTTCTCCAACTGTAAACTTTCTACTCTAGATGCCAAACTGTTTCCTTTTGAACTACTTTGATTAATCACTTTTCAGAGCCCAGCGGACAACTCACCATGTTCATTCAGTGCGGCAGCTAAGGGGAGTTGAGTTTTACTGGTTCTCCCCGAACCGGGGAACACCCTTCTCATGGGTATACCTTACCTCCCTTTCGTAATCAGAGATACATTATCATAAATGATCCTGTGAGGCTTAAATTTAAAAATGCAGATGATCAGGGTGATTGTTAGGCTTCCCGTATACACATGTAGGATTCATTTACATGAGGCAACTGATAAGAGGCACTTTAAGAAAGAGTATCACCTTGTGCCAAGTTCTAGTCCAGGGTGTGATAAGGGGTCCTCCCCATTTCCTCCTATTCAGCACGTTCTTTGCTAGCTAGCTGATTAAACAACAGATCAAAAATATCTCCAGCAGGCTGGGGAATGTAGCTCAGTGGTAGAGCCCTTGCCTAGCATGTGTGAGGCCCTGGGTTCCATGTCCAGGTCTAGGAAAGGAAAAGACTGTGAGAAAAAAAAACCATCAGATGAATTACACTGAAGAATATGTCCTGGCTTACGACCTCCCTGTTATTCTCAGAGTGATGGCCGACTGTGTGACAGGGGCCACTCTCAGTGTCTTCTATGAGTCAAGTCCTTAAGTTTCCCAACTATGAGACAGTTACGTTGTTCCACTTTGCACCTGGGAAGCAAGCCTCAGAGTTAAGTACCTTGCCCAAGGTCACAGAGCTAGATCCTTACGTTTCTGGACTCCTGAGAGACGCCGGATGGCAGGCAAGGCTATAAAGCGTGTGCTGATTTGGGGGCTGGTGCCTTACCTATGCGTCTCTTGACTATGCATCTTCTAAAGTGGTACCTTACGCTTCACGAATTTAACTTCCTTGATTTGACCCTCCCAATGATCCCTGTGAGTCATGTCTAAGAGTTTGTCTGCACGTCTTAGATTCTTCTCACAAGCTGTAAGATAAGTTCTATTATCTGTTTTCTGGGTCTGTTTCTGTTTCAACTATAAACTTAAGTAACTCACTCACTTTCTATCCCGCATCCTCTGTGTCTGGAGTTGACGTCCTTTCTCCTACACCATGCTGCTTTGTGTAGATTGCGCTCATGTAAATGCATATTGTAATTGATTTATTCTAATTTATTTCAGTGAGAACTCAAAAGGTTTATCAGAGTTATCTTCATGTTCTAAATGAGCCAAGTATAATTTTCATAGTTATAACTACAAAGCACTTTCCAGGGAAAGACTGAAGATGTTATAAGAATATTGGTACTTGTAATGGAATCAATTGGTCATATATCTTATTTTGGTTGTATTTTAGGTCCATGGTGTGGTGAATGACACAATAGCATTTGTGAAAGACATTATTACCACAGAACTGAATAGTGCAACAGATAATCCTGTATCCTCTGAACGTCTACTAATCTTCGGTTATAGCTCTCCGGCTGGTAATTTTAGGATCTGCCTATGCATTCGTTGTGTGGAACATCCCAGTTCTGTTACTCCTTTCCATAGGTAAAGGAGTAAGTCCCTGAGGTTCAGAGTGACTTTCTCCAGGTCAGAGCTGGTAAGTGGCAGACACAGGCCTAAGGAACCTACTTTCAGGTTCCGAGTCTAACACATTATACTTTCAAAACTGACCCATGAGACATGAAGGGAGAGAGTTCCACCCCTGGCTGAGCTATGTCGTGAAGGTATGGGACCCAAAGCCCACTGCTGAGGTTGTTCATAGAAGTATGAAGACCCATGTCACAAACATGATTTCGGGTGTCCACTAGGTTGGCCTCCCTGTGTGCAGGCCTTGCTAGTTCTGTTGAGGCCAGAGCACTAAACAGAAGGCAGCATTCAAACACTTACCAAAGTCTGATGAGAATTATGTTTCTCCCATCCCAAGTTTTCATTTCTAAGTGGACGTTAGTCCAGCCCACTGTTCTCATGGTTGTCCAAAGAATGAAAAGAGTGCTTCAATTTCTTGAGGATGGAGTTCTTTCCTCCCTAGTGGGTCTCTTACCCAGAGCCATATGGTTTTTCTGATGGCTTAGTTCTCTAGAGGACAGGTGATCAGGCAGGGAACAGTCTTCACAGAGACAGCACTGCCTTTGAAGGCAGCCAAACCTCTTAGGAATCTATTTTTCCCATTCCACATCTGCCTTGGTTCTTACTGCTAGAGAAAATGCAGAGCTAATACAGCCAGGATTAACAGGGGTTGCACAATATCTGTGTCACCTGTCTTACAAGATGCTTTTAGTGTGTCTTTCCTGACAAGCCTACCTTAGGAGGTGTTTTATATTTTTTCAGATTGCTTCATAGTTTATCCAAACCCACATTAAATAGTCTTCAGGACCGTGGATCTCTCAACACCAGGAGAGTAGTAGTTTTGCAAACATTATATAATCTTACTTCACACATCCATTCTTGCATGGTACAGGAGTGCTATCTATTGTCCCCTTACATAATTTAGACCTTGAAGCATATCTTATAGAGTTTAAAAAATACTAAATAAATTACTAGTTTTGGGAGACAGGGACAATTCCCTACCAAATTTTTCTCCTACCCCTTGCCTCAGCAAGAATTTCAGCCCAAAGTCTTTCAGTTTCTCATAAAAGACTCTTAACTATAGATGAACTTGCAACAAACTAATATTTGGGAGTTCCCTACAGTACTGATCTTGCCTGAAAAAATACGTTTCTCGGTTGTATGTTGTAGATACAAAGCAGCTATCATATAATGCTGGATATGACAAGAGCTAAGGTTTGATTGCTGTAATTTAGTAGCAAATAGATTTGGAATAACTAAGTGGCAAGAGAACATGTTTAAGTTCTAAATTGGTGCAGAGATTGCTACACAGATTCAGAGACTGCAGGGAAGAGAAGGCCTATGGCTGGGGCAGATTCAAGGACAAGAGTAAAAGCAACGCTTGATGGGCCATGTTCTGTGTGCAGAAGGAGTTGCTCCACATTTACTAAGCTGACATAACACACACATCTCTAACACTGACAATCCGAAACTTTCTCACACAGAATGAGTTCCCAGTGAATCCATAGTGAGCAGTTATCCCTCCGTATCTGTAGGAGCTCAGTCCCAGGACCCCTCTGTGGATAACAAAAATCTGTAGATGCTCAAGTCCTGTAGATCAAACGGTATCATATTCACAGATAGCCCATGCAGATCCCCCATATATTTTAAATCATCTTGAGATTACTTCTCATACCCAATATAATACAAATATTATGGCCATAGTGGTTATTTTTCAGCCTGAATATTTTCAACCTGAGATTGGTTGAACTGACAGATACCAAATCTGTCGATGCAAAGGGCCAACTATTTTGTTTAGCCCAATGGGCAAAAAATAGCTTTTTAGAACCAGGAAAAAGGGTCTGCTACAGTATCTCCCTGAATGCCTGCTGGTTTTAGGAAAGTATCGAGATTGGCATTATTTCCGAGGGAGTCTGAATTTGCCTCCTGTTTAAATGGATTTGTGGAGACACCAACAGCCATCTGTTGGTGCAGGCTGGCACAGGATCACCATGTACAGAGTTTGGAAAACATTGCAGCACTGACTTCAGTCCTGCTGAAGGAATAGAATTTGCTTTCAGACAGATAGCCTCGTTTCTAGTCTTAGTTTGAGCTTATACTCTTTCTCAGTGCTGATACTCATCACCAGGCTAGTACAGTTATGGTGTGTGAGAATCTTTAATCTCAAGAGAAGGCACCACTTATGCTCTGCAAGTCTTTGGCCCCAGTTGGGTGTCTATTATTTACTTTAATGTGTTTTTTATTATTTTGCTTTTGTGCACCTTTCTGTCAACATTGCTTGTAGGAAGACCCGTCTCTTTCCTTCTACCCCGCATTCACACAAAGACTGCCCCTTCAATGTTAAACATAAACCAGCAGGCCGGAGTTATGTTCGAAGTCATCCACAAGTGTTATGTTCCACCTTAACCTGTTTTGAAAGATGGTCTTTGCCAGTAGGGGAGAGACAATTTCTGGAGGAAACTTCCATGGTGAATACCCAGCCAAAGTAAGCTTTTAAAAATTGCTCCTGGCCCCAAATACATATTCCAATCCAGGTCAACTGAACTGAGGCGTTCTTTCAGGCCCTGGACTATTTGGCCATTGGCGTCCATGAACTTGCTGCGATTAGTGAAAGAAGAATCGAAAGGCTCTGTAATCCCTCCCTCAGTGAACTGCCCGCCTTCCTGGTGGCTGAAGGTGGTCTGAACTCTGGGTTCATGATAGCCCACTGTACAGCTGCAGCGCTCGGTAAGACACTGCCCCTCGCTGAGCTCAAGCCCGCCCACCTGAGGGCCTTTGGATGAAGGCATCCAATCTTGCCTTTGAGTGAGCTCTCACCCTTCACCACTTCTATTTCCAGCCTCACTTAGTATGAATGTAGCAGAGTGACTCCTTTAACAGCATCTAGAAAAATGTGTATGGAACATTACACACTGAGTTTTTTTTCCAAACTGAATTTGACAGCTACCAAAAGGAGAACAGATAAAGATGCTTATACTTAACAGTGAATCTTAAACCAACCTGAATGACTAAACTCTGGGGACATTCTGTCAGATATGCCAACCCCCGCATAGATAAAGACGTTAATGCACCATGCAAAATGCTTGCAAGAAACAACAGGCCCTCTTAGAAAGTTAGACCTCAGTATAGCTCAGTTCTTACTCCAGTGTGTAAGGGGCAGGTGTAAGCAGCACAACAGAGCAGACCTGGCACAAAAGCAAGTGCTAAAGGTCTCACTTGTTTTGACACAATCACCACGACAGTGCCACACGGGAGGTACCGTTACTGTTTCCATTCTGCAGATGAACATCTGGAGAGCTGAGAAGCCAATTGATTTCCTCAGTGTTGCACAACCAATCCAATGTAGAGGCGAATTCGAACCCAGGCAATTTAGCTCCCAAATCCATGTTCTCACGTCAGTGAATGAGGCCCTCATGTTAACCAATATTTAATCCCAGAATATGGCTGCCAAGTTTAACAAACAAAAGTACGGGACACACAGTTATGTTTGAATTATTTGGGACATACTTACACTGAAAGATTATTTGTGTGTTATGTGAAATCCGAACTTAATTTATCCTATTTTTTCTCTAACAATCCTTCCCTGAAAAGCAAGCATTAACCCAGAAGACACACAGAGGCGGATCTGAATCTCAGCCCTTCCATTGACTAGAGAGGGCACATCAAGTCTGTCAGTGCTACTGATCCTCAGTTCACCCCCGAGTAAAATGAGGATGCTAGGTCTACCTGGTGGGGCTGTTTTTAGAATTAAATGGATTAATTCATGTAAAGCATTGGGACTACCTGGTGGTGCATGCCTGTAATCCCAGCACTCAGGAGCCTGAGACAGGAGAATTGCTTTGAGTTTGAGTTTGACCTGTTATGATTTCTGAAGCTGGGGAGAGAAGGTCCTCGGAAGAGTAGTCCTCAGACCACGAAGTGGTGTCACTTTTGAGCTTGTGAGACCGCAGGATCTCAGGCCCTACCCCAAACCCATATCTGCATTAACACAAGATCCCTGGGACTTTGATACCCATGATCAAGTTTAGAGGCACTAGGACAGGACTCCCCTCACTTCCCAGAGGTGTCTCTGATTACTTAAACTCCAAACACCCACTTCTTTCACGTTGACCAGCCTGATATAGTCCATCTTGCTCAAAGTTTGCAGGCCCAGCCTCTGCCTGAAATTTCTCATCTACTTCCATTTCCTTGTACCAAAGTAAACTTGTGCCGTCTGGTGTTTAGTATAAGGTTTAGTACTTGACCAAGAGCTTCTGGACCGGGTCTTCCAGGCCAGAGAGAGTTTTGCTTCTTTTCTCTTCTTTCTTCCTGCCTTTCTTCTGTCCTTTCTTTCCTCCTTTCTTCCTTCCTTCCTTCTTTCCTCTCTCTTTCTTTCTTCTTCTGTTTTTAACTAGTGGGGATTGAACCCAAAGCCTTTGCACTGAGCTACATTCCTAGCCTTATTTATTTATAAATTTGAGGCTTTGTCTCACCCAGTCACGAATTTGCCCAGGCTAGGCTTGAACTTGCAATCCTCCGCGTGTGCGGATTACCGCACGTACCACCACCCCTGGCTTCTGCGGAGACAGGGAAGCCACATGACGCTGGGGCAGTTCATCCTCAGAGGAGAGCTTCTTAACTAGCTCTGGTCTCTTGCAGTTTCCGAGAGCAAGGCTCTGTGCCACCCCTCGTCTGTGGACTCGCTCTCCACCAGTGCCGCCACGGAGGACCACGTCTCCATGGGCGGGTGGGCAGCCAGGAAAGCCCTCAGGGTCATCGAGCATGTGGAGCAAGGTAAGCCTGGCGAGTCCGAGAGGAGGGTCCCCAAGGCAGCATCAGCACGGCATGACCTGGGGACTCATTAGAATGCAGGTTCTCAGGCCCCCCCCAGGCCTGCTGTCTTCCAGATGATTCTGACGCTCCCTGGGGAGTGCAAAGGAAACAACTGTGCAGAGATAAGCTTGGCGGGCTTTTCTTTAAAAATGAAGTTTTGAAGCATATCTAAAAGTGGAAAGAAGAACACCATAAACCTCATGCACCTCTGCGATTAAGCAGCATGGGTACTTCCCTTTTTCCTTCTCTTTTTCCAAATTATTTTTAAGCAACTCCCAGTGTTCTATCATTTTTATTTCTACAAACTTTCTCTCTCGAGTAGGAATGCTTTTTTCTATACTGAGGAAGCCATTATCACATCCAACAAATTCAACAATACGTCTGGTATCACCACCAAATAATATTCAAATTTCCTAGTTACAGGATCTCAATATGTTTATGGTGGATTTGTTGAAATCAGAATGCAGGTTGATGTTTTAAATTTGTTTGTCATGATTTTGAGCTTCTTTTGAGCTAGGATAGTCCCTTGTCTGTTTTTGTTGTTATTGTTATTGTTCCTTTGTTTTGTTTTTTGTTTTTCCTTGTGCTTTTGACTAATTGAAAAACCAGGTTAGTTTTCCTGTAGCAAGACTGACATTCTGGATTTACCTGGTAGCTTCCCTGTGGTGTCACTTTTACCTTGTTCTTTGTCTCAGGCAATTGACCCTAAAGATTTTTATTTTATTTGCTGTTTTGAGATCGGGTCTTACTATATATATTGTTCAAGCTGGTCTTGAACTCACTGTGTAGCCCAGGCTGGCCTTGATTTTGTAGCAATCCTCCTGCCTCATCCTCCCAAGTGCTGAGTTGATTATAGGCGTATATCACCACACCCAGCTACCATAAAGATTTGGTAAGATTTAAGTTCAACCTGTTTGACAAACATGCATCACAGGGAAAGGTATATTAGGCTACTCCCTCTATGCTTTACTTGCAAGGTGTTTTTTCATGAAAATCACCTTTCTTGAGACATCCTCTAAATTCTTAAGCTTAAGCAGCAATATTGCACAAATACTATTAGATAACAAGAGTATCACTATTTTAAAGTAAATATAAGAGTTGAGTATTCCTCTTTTGGCCTCAGCTGTTTTGATATATAGTTCATACATCTTTCCACCCACCCATTTAAAATGTACAGTTCATCAATAGCTATTGTAAATTGGGAAGAAATTGTTCAAAAGAAAAGACAAACTGTAATGGGGGAAAGGGGAAAAGAAGGAAGAGAAAAAGAAAGGATATATATGTATGCACATGATAGTAAAGATAATTATACAGCTAGTTTCTCTCAGTTCATTGAAAATAGATGTTTGTGCTAACATTGTTTGGACAAGATATCATGCCTATATCTTGTACTCTGAATGACTGTAACAAAGATAACAATACGCAATGCATTAATTATTACAACTCCTAGTAACCTGTTTTGAAACTCTGCTTATCATTTTTTTTTTTCTCTTTAAAAAAACAATGTGCTGATCAGTGATGTTGATGTAGTCACCGGGCTATAGTGACTGACACCAAAATCAATTAATTATAGAATATTTTCATTGGCCCCAAAGAACCTCAAACACCACATTCCCATTCTTCCTGTCCTCCCCAGTCTTAGGCAAGTCTTAGTCTTGATCCTTTCAGTTCACCTAATGTTTTCAGGGTTCGCTTCTGTTGCAGCATATGTCAATACTTCCTCCTTGTTCAGGGCTAAACACCGTTCTGTTGTGGGGATCAGCCACGTTTTGGGTATCCTTTCATCGGTTGAAGGGCCCTTGGTTGCTTCCACCTTTTAGCCAGTATAAATAATGCTGTGGTGAACATGTACAGGTTTGTGTGCTGACACAGGTCTTCACTTCTCTAGGGTGGAATTGATGGGTCCTAGGATAGCTCTACACTCATCTTTTTGAGGAACTTCCAGACAGTTTTCCAGGTGGCCAAGCCATGTTGCCTTCCCACCAGTGCCGTTTGAGCGAGCCGACTGTTCAACCTCATCACCAGCACTTGGTATCAACCACAGTGTGTTGTAAACGTTCTCTCTTCAGATGGCTCCCCACGTGACATGTCATGCTGACCAAAAACTTAAAGACTTGCCCCTATCTGTCCTTACATCCTCCGTCCCGTCCGTCTTCCAAAGAGGCCCAAGCAGTCCTGGCATCTCTTGATTAATCTTGTTTTCACTATTGTTTCGCTATAGTTACTATATAAAACCAAACAAGATGAGCTTCTGCAAACAAAATGTAGATCACACCATTCCCCTTGTTGAAAATTACCAGTTACTTCCAGGTGCTCACAACAAAGCCCACCCCTCTTCCTGGGGTCTGTGAAACCCCGGATGACCTGACCTGTTCGCTCCATCCTGTTCCCTACCTTGGAACCACGGTGTTGTCCGTGTACCTGCCGCTGAGCACATCCTTACCTCTGCTCCTCGCCCACCATCTGCCCAGCCCTGTCTGCAAGGACTGCTCATGGTTCCCTGCCTCACTGCAGTGTTGTAGCTGCCCATTCTTCATCTCCGATGCCTTCTGTGACAGCCCCAGCTGAAGGACCAACTGCCTTTCTTTTTCCTTTCATTCTGTTTTCTGATAGCACTCAGTACCTCTGATATAGTTAGGCTTATTTGTCTCTCACTGAAAACCTCAAGCTTCACAAGGGCAGGGACCTTGTCTGTCTTAGTCACGTCCCTACAAGGCCCTGGAGCACCTAGAATAGGGCTTGGTACAGACTCACATTCAAATGTTTGCTTGCCTATAGGTCCAAATTGTAGATCTGCCTCATCAGGTTTTATTGTCTCCTTCTTCCATTTATAGCACGGAAGTTCAGTTAGCAAAAAAGAAAAAAAATGAGCAATTTGTGCTACAAGGCTGTTCATCACTTAAGTTTGTTTTGATTACAGATATTAGCAAGCACCTGTAACTCTTGGAATCTAGTAGGACAGGATATAAAGTATAAGATAAGAATCTGCTTATCATTGTGCAGGAAACTAGTGTGGGAGCATAGAAAGACAGCGTTCTGCCTGGCTGGGTGCCGAGGCAACCCCCACCACCCGTGAATTAAACAGTGAGTTCACCTGCCTTCGACCCTTTTTTTTCCCTTTTTTTTTTTGGTACCGGGAATCGAACTCAGGACGCTGCACTGAGGGGCTTGTTCCACTGAACTATATCCCCAGCGACTCTTTTTTTTTTTTTTTTTTTTTGGTACCAGGAATCAAACTCACGACCTCATGCCTGCCAGGCAGGTGCTCTGCTGCTGAGCTATATCCCCAGCTTGGCCCTCTTGCAGAGAGACGAACAGTGGGTACCAACTTGGCAACCTTTTAAACACTTGAAAAAATTTTAACTGAAGAACAGAGTTGTAGGGGGATATAACTAGATCTGATCGAGTGTAAAGAACTGAACTTGATCTAGTATAAAGGGAGCAGAAAAATCGTCTCCAAAGAAATACTTAAGATTAAGACATGAACAACACATAGGGCTAATTGTGTGTGTGTGTGTGTGTGTGTGTGTGTACAGTACTCATTGTGCAAGGGAAAGGAGTAGTATATGCACAAAATCATTTTTGGATGCATTGTGATGGTAATAGTTACAGGTTATTCAGGTACAGATGCCAAAGCTCAGGGAAGAACTGGGGTTAATGATGAAGGTCAGTGCTCTCTGCATTAAGGTAGTTGCAGAGGTCAGAAAGGAGAACAGCGAGGGGAGGGACCTGGAATACAATGACTGCCTGGAGGGAGGAGGCGAAACTTTTCAAAGGGACTGGATTGAAGAGCGCAGGCAAAAGATACCTTGGAGTACGGGAGAGGAATGCAAGGTCAATGGAAGCAGTCTTTTCCTAATGCCGAGAACACGGGTGTAAATTAGCCTCACAGATAGACAAATGAATAGAGTTCAAATTTTAAGGATATATTTGCCATATATCTAAGTAGTACTGTTATTTGTTTGCTCAGGATAGATTTAACTCATGTAAATTATACTCTGTTAAGATGAAGAAAATAAAATTCTTCAGATATTTTCTGTACTTTAAAAAAAAATTTTTGAGGTTTGAAGGTAGCTATTAGGCCACAAGATATCTGCTTATTTCAAAATAAACGGGAACTGTATAAGAAGCATCCAGCTAAATCAAGATCCATCGGCCTCTTTGAAGTTTTACTGAAGAAAAGCATGATTTTTATGTTCTAGTTGATGGCGCTAGGAAGAACTGCTGGCTGTGGATAGCAGAATGTCACAGAAGTACTGACAAGCTTTTCTGACGTGTTTTATGTTTACCTTGTGAATATCTACTTCCCAGTTTTTTTCTGTTCTAGCATTATCTATGAGACAGCCATTCTTTATCTATAAAACAGTACCATAGCATTAAGACTTCCTGAGCATTTACTATGGGCATTCAGGCTTGCAACCCATTTGATGTGCACGATAACCCACAAAGGTGGGTACTACTGTCCCATTGTACAGGTTGGGAAACCAAAGCAGAAGTTAAGTAATGGGTCCAAACTTATACCCCTTCCATGCCAGTGCTAGGATTTTACCCTACATGTTGGTTCAGGTTGCTGTCTGAACCACTCCCTGCAATAACAAAAAGTAAGCCAACAGGCTCTGTTTCATGACCCCATTTGAAGGATTGTTGTACATGTGTTCTCATGGAAGTTACCTCCGAATGAAAGCTTGTGAGTTGAGGAGGTGCAGTTGAGTCAGATCTTTGTAATACCTGTGAAGCTGGGGGTTAGGCAATGATGTGGTTAATTTGGCAATATACTATTATTTATTCCAATCATCTAAGTAGCTTCAGATGAAAAAATATCTCTCTTATCCAAGAACTCTCCACTCCACTTCTTTGACCAAAATGATCACCTGTTTCCTATTTCTAACTTCATGTAAATTTTCAGTTGGTTTTAGTCCTGCTATTCACTTGATTTGAAATGCCTGGTACAGAGACTTTCATCAAAGACCTTCACCAACAGTTTGAAAGAGCCAGTGAATGAACAAATGAGTCAGTGACTGCCCAGGAACTAATCCCATAATGTCCATCTCAAGCCTTTAAACTTGAAGACAAATCTGCTAAAAGTGACAGTCTAGAAATAAGTGTCTTCCCACTCTTAAAGTTTTGCCATAAAACATACTTTACAAAGTGTTTCTTAACTAAAATCTAATTATGCCACACTTTGCAATGCATTTTAAATATTGAGATTACATTTCTCTATATTTGATTTCTCTATATCTCTATATTTGATCTAAATTATGAGGAATTATGATAGAAACATAATTCAAAATTAAACCACTCTGGATCCCATTATTTTCCAGGAAAGTAGTATAGAAGCTTAAAGCTGGTCAGATCATTTAAGCGGTTAGCCCAAATGGAGTATTAAAAACATTCGATTTCTTGACTTTCAGTGTATGAAGCAAATTACAAACTCCACTTAGAACAGAAAGGACACAATGGGACAGGATGAATAATCAACTGGGAATAATCAAAGTTCAGATCTGCTAGTCTGGTATCCACACTTCATTCCTGTCGACTTGGAAACTGAGAAATAAAAGATCTTCTTAAAAAGGAAACTGACTTAATGGATCTGGGCTCCAGATCAGGGTTAGACATTTGTTCTGACGTCCTCTCCTATGCAAACCTGGCTAACAAAACTTGGTAGAGGATGTGAACAGGAGAAATGATAAATTTTGCAGGTATAGTCAAAAGGCCAAGTTCCCAAAGAACCTCCTAATCTGTCCAGGTAAGTTCTCAATTCTCCCCCTCTCACCACTAAATATACAGCAGAGGTCTTAGAAACACAGGCCTAAAATGATAATTGATACCAAGGCAACTTTATTTGAGCAGTAGACAGAGAACCAATACTCTGTTAGTTGGCTAGTAATAGCTGTCAACTCAGGTGGTTTCTATTCCTCAAGCATGAAGTCAGATGTTAATCAGTCATTATCTCAATATTTTTGTTTTAGTGCTAGCCATTGAGCTTCTTGCAGCCTGCCAGGGCATAGAGTTTCTGCGCCCCTTGAAAACAACCACTCCCCTGGAGAAGGTCTATGACCTGGTGCGCTCTGTTGTAAGGTAAAGTCAACAGGTCCCTGGAAGTTACACCATTTCAAACTGTGAACCTTGGCAATACTTAAATGTTTGGCTGATGGGTAATATGCTTTCTCTGCAGGCCCTGGATAAAGGACCGCTTCATGGCCCCAGACATCGAGGCAGCACACAGGCTTCTCCTCGAGCAGAAGGCAAGCAGGCTACCAGATTATTTTTAGTTTTGGTTGTTATGGGACAGCAAAGCGGGAGGGAGTGGAGAAACACTCTTATTCTATTGTTTCCTGGCTATTTCTTGAAAGGGAACATAAAAGTACAACTTGCAAGGCCACTGCAAAGCCATCAGAGGGCCCCACGTTGCACCCAACTATTGATTAGCTGAGGCATAGAAGCTGAAATGAATGTCAAGAGAGTTTTAGAACAAATATTTATGGAGCAAAATTGAGATGAAAGGTTTGTAGACCTTGGCTCCCCCAAATGTCCGGTTTTGTTCAAAAGAACTTTCTGCTCTAGTGATGTTTGCACAACTCCCACCACCAGGTGAGGTGCAGCGGCTGCATAGCCTGGGTAGACAGTGAAGTCCAGGCTGATACTCCAGTGGGCCTTGGGCCTGTCTCCTGTTCTGATGTGGCCCTGCCCCTATCTTGCTAGATGAAATATGCTCTTACTGCTTATTTTCTCTGTTACGCTGACCGTAGACTTAGCTGATTGATAGCGATTTCTCTGTCTCTCTTTGTCTCTGTCTCTGTGTCTGTCTGTCTCTCTCTGTGCTTTTAACCTTTTAACTTGTAAATATCATATTGCCTAGAACTGTGATGGTGAACTTTTAGAGTTGTCCAAACTGCAACTCAAAACTCACTTATTTATCTCAAAGTGCCCACACTGCAACTAGACCTGAATACTGGGGTTTTAGTCTAGAAAAAGCAACTCATACATTAATATCTTTTGTTTTAAAAGAAAAACAACACATGTGCCATAAATTGGCCACCACTGTTCTAGAATCATTTGATTTCCCTCAGAACAGCTGCTCCTTTCCCCTTTGATCTTCACACCTCTCCTCTCTAAGCGTGCCTTATGCTCTTAGAGGGAAGGCCTACTACCTGCTACCAATTTTGGAATGGTAGAAAGGTGTGTGGGAACCTAGCTGTTGAAAGAACGCATTTTCTAAGGTCATCAAGGAGGAAAGACTCCTTAGCTATCAGTGGTAATCAGAGAAAAAGCATCTGCAAACCAAAACCAGGGCCTTAACTTGAAAAAATGTTAAGCTTAAAGGAAAATGCATTGGTGAACAGAGATAAAGACAAAAACAGGATCTGAGATTGTGCTTCTCAAACTGAAACCTGCACGTGAATCTCCTGGCCATCTTTTGAAAGTGCAGATTCAGATTCAGTAGGTCCAGGCAGATGCTGTGATTCTGCCTGGTCCCAGGTGATGCTGATGGGGCTGAGCCCCAGACTGAGAGTGAGAGTCAAAGGCACAGAGCACGTATGGCATAGAAACAGAGCCATGGAGGAATCCAGTAAAGTGCCTTTTGTCATTCAATACTGGCTTTAGAAAACACAGTCAGCTCATACCCATTAGCAGCCATCTTTAACTCGTCCATCCATCTGTCCGGTCCAGGCTGAATTTTCTAGATTCTGTTTGTTGTTTGCTTGCCTGCTTGTTTTGCTTCAGAAGAGAATATAGCTTAAAACTTTCAACACTCTTGGACTTTGTAATTTTAAAGCCTTTAATGAAACCAACAACTAATTGACACAAGTCATGTGTTAAAGTAAAAGCAAGCAAACAACCACCCCGGTTCCACTCACGTATAGAGGTTGTTTTGCCTTGGGATAAAGTTGATGTTTAGCAGCATGCAGAAACAACGTTGTCCATACTTCAACTTTTTCCTGTCTTTGCTCCTCAGGTTTGGAATGTGGCTGCACCATACATCGAAAAATACAAAATGGAGCATATTCCAGAATCAAGACCTCTGTCTCCTACAGCCTTTTCACTGCAATCTCTACACCAGAAAGCCACGAAAATCCCAGAGACAGAGGAACTTTAATGGGCTTTGTCATGGGTTAGATCAGGTGGTCTTCAGCCCAACACAAAGCAGTTCCATGCTGAAGGAGAGAGCTGGGAACTCTCCCCGATAGATGTGGTTCCCCTCCTGACTCAGTGAGGATGGTAGCAATAGCATAATTGCTCAATCCAGCCCCGTGTTCTTGTTCCCATAGCTTGAGATGCACTGGGTGTTTTGGGACTGTAGGAGTTTTCTTTCTTTCTTAAAAATATCAACATAGCCACAATTGCATGGATCTGTTTTTTAACTCAGCATGAGATGAACTCAAATTTGGAAACAGATTGACAGCATTCTTCTCCAAAAATTTAGATTTTGTAAACGTTATTTTTTATTTGCTTTGAGAAGCTCCTCCTTGGGGACTTTCTTTGGCTGATTGTACTATGTCATAACATGACAACTGTTCCTTAATATGCATTCATAAATAACCATTCTGACTCACAATTTGTTCTTAAGCTACTCTTTCTTTTATCAGCTGAATCACAGTAAAGAAGAATCAGGTCTTAAACCATTAAGTACAGAGGTATGCACACCCACAAGAAGTCTTACGCAGCAAGGAGTAAGGAATGAATGTAAAGGTTTTGCTATCTAGGTGGCCCTTGAACTGCGTCTTTCATACTTACCAATATCTACACGTATTTCCCAAATTGATGATATGCTCAAGTTGGAGTTTGGAGTTAGTATTTATCACTTCCTGTGTGTTAGTACTCTAGTCACACATGTGTGATAACCCTGCTAAAAAGCCTCACTTCACAGATAAGTGATCTGTGGGTGTTGACCAGCCCCCTCCCTGTAATGGTAATCATTAAAGTGAGCCCTATTGACACAAGTCAGATGGACCTGAGGAAGTATTACCCAATCTGTTTTTCTCCCAAGAAGATAAAGGCCCCTCTGGGAAGGCTTAGTGTAATTGGCCAGGGGAAGAATGGGTCAGATGACCTCTCGTCTTCCCAAGGCTGAGATGCGTGACTTTGCACCTATCTGCAGAGTGGTGTGCAGAACACTCCTAACACTGACGTCACTGCAGCTGGTCAAGTAGGGGACAGACATGCTTGCCAGCTCGCCCAGCTGAGGACAGCGGCAGTGGGCCCAACGCTGTATTTCACAGCAGGATCATCACTCTTTAGTTGCACCTTGTCCACAGGAAAGTTGAGGACCCAAGTAAAATCTTTTGGTTCAGGAAGCAAAACATGTGCTGAGGAATTTGCTCACCTACAGGTTGTTTTTGTGCAATTTGCTAAAATGGGGACACGGCCACAGTTGATTCATTCTTATCCCTGAGCTGCAGTGGAGCCAGTGACCCAGCTGTCCAGTGGCCGCTCTTCACTCCGGTGTGGGAAGGGCTGGGTCCCCTCCCACGCCCAAGGTCCTGCGGGGCAGGGTGATACAGCTTTGTATGAAATGGACGTCACCTGATCGACAGAATTCCAGAGCAAATATAGAATAAACTGTTTTCAGTGGTCTCATTCTCACTTTATTTTGAGATTTGGGGTGGAGGGGGTGGAGCTGCTAATTGTAAAGCATGTATGTGGGAACTTGCCTTAGTGATAATGACAATCAAAGGTGAGGTGGTGGCAAAACCTTTAATGGAGGCGTAGGAAGAAAAAGGAGGTGAGGAATGGACCTCAGCCTGAAAAGCTGAAGGGGCCCCGCCCCTGAAAAGATCACACTGGCCTGACCTTTCATTTGTTTTTCTGACACTGGGGATTGAGTGAACGCAGGAACTTTGTACTGAGCTACCTCCTCAGCTCTTTCTTACTTTTTATTTTGAGGTAGGATCTTGCCAAGTTGCTAAGTTGCCCAGGCTGGGCTTTAAACTTGTAATCCTCTTAGCTCCGTCTCCCAGAGTGCAGGGATTACAGGTCTGTGTCACTACACCTAGCTCAGAGTAGTTTTCATGGCACCGCTGAGGTGGGCTAGGAGCTGGGAATTTTTTTATTGGGTGAGAAGTATGGCATTATTGGAGATGTCCTTCTTATGTTTTACTGGCTCTATTCTTAGGACAAAATTTGGACCAGTGGCTATTTTTGTCCTTGGGGACATCATAGCAGCCCCACCCTCTGCTGTCATAGTGTACAGGGTCTCGAAAGTAAGAAGAGAGTATGTTCCACACATTGTTAGCAAGGGGGCATTGGCAGAAGGACACCCACACCTCTAGTGGGTAACAGATCATGGATTAGGGCCTGAGAATCCCCCATCTCCTCTTCCATCAGGTACCTGTCCTATTTCACTGGGAATTGGATCCAGGGCAAAATATATGCTAAGCATATGCTCTACCACAGGCTACACCCCCCAGGTTCAATTGTTTGATTTCTGTAACAAAATTTAATGCCTCTCAAATACAAAGGCTATTCTAAGTGTAGTTAATTATATTTCTGGAAGATTCAGGGAACAGACGTTAACACATTTTGGAAAATGTCATGGGCCCAATACACTTTCTTCTTCTTTCCCACTGAGTAGTGGCAGAAGAGTTGGAGGAATGGCGATCCTCTCCCCAACAGGTTCACTCCCTGCTCCTCCCAGGGAAACCAGGTAGGGTGAGCCCCAAGGCACAAGGACTTTTCAGCTTCTGCTGTGTCTTTTTCACTGATGGCCTAGTGGCCAAAGCAAGTCTCCTGCCAATCCACTTACAGAGCTCAGAGTCAGTTCAGGAGAGTGATACCCAAATGATTCCCATGGATGTGTGATTTGGTGTGATTTATGGCCATTCTCTACCAATCTACCACATACATAAAATCCAGCAGGTACAGCTGGGTGTAAGCAACACACGCCTATCATGCCAGCAGTTGACAGACTAAGGCAGGAGGATCACCACAAGTTTGAGGCCAGCTCGGGCTACATAGTGAGTTCAAGGCCCAGCCAGAACTACAGAATGAGACCCTGTCTCAAAAAAACAAAAAGAAAAAAGAAAAAAAAAATCCAATGAATATTTGAAAGAGATACTTTTCATGCTACTCTAAACATGTGTCATATTTCTGGCTCTGATCCCTGGATTAATATTTTTTTTACTAAGCAAGATAGCATACTCATAAATAGTGTGATCATTTTGCCTTTTAGGTTACTTTTGCTAAAGGTACTAATTAAGTAAGTGTAAACATTGAAAATACACCCCCCAAAACAAGGAGAAAAGTTGGAAGACAATTGTTCAGCTCAGGAGATAGACCCAATTAGTCTAAAAAGGTCCTGTTCCCTTTGCTGAGTGTTTAGTTCAAAAAGGGCTGGAACTTGGGTCAGTGAGACCAAAGCGATCTATTGGAGGCTCTGAGAAAGTGTTTTCTCTCACAAGAGCCACCAGAAGTCATCCTTCTCCTCTTCCTGCTTGACCTGAATGAGGAGACACAGACAGCTGTGGCTATCAGCAGCCAGCCAGACCAGGGCACGGCTACAAGGCAGAGCAGAGAGAGGAAGGGATATGGGTCTCCCACATCATTGAGCTTCTGGATCAACCAATCCAGAAACCTGCCTTGCCTGTGAATTTCCAATGGTGAGCTAAGAAACTTCCTTATTTTTTAAGTCAATTGTGGTCAAGTTTTTGATACTTACAGCTGTCGGCATCTACCTAGCACAGCCACTGTGCATGAGGGGCCGCTGTGCACCATCATCACCTGCAACCTGTGTTGAAGGACTTTCTCTCTAGTTGGAGACAAACTATGGCAACTGCTGTACCAAATGTTATCAGGGAGGCCTGACAGAAAGGACTGAGATGAGCGTTGCAGATGCGAGTCAAAGAGAGACAAGGAAAAAGGAAATGCAACCTAAGTGTCGATATATGGCACTCACTGTCTCCTTGTGTGCTTGGTCAGTTTCAAATAAATGGGAAACCCAATGGCCTTGATCCTTTCAATCACAGTTTATAGTCTAGGCAGTGGGCCAGACAGGAAAACAAACAATGGCAATGTGTACTAATACCGTGGGAAAGCTGGGACGTAATCAGGGGCCAGGACATGGAGATCATAACTCATGTTCGATAGGAGAAGAAAACTTTATCAGCACAGCAGACCTCTGAGATCTTGAGTGTGCATGAAAAGGGGCAGGTCACAGTGGCTCAGTGATAGTTTCCACCATCTAGGTACCAGGTGCCTCTTGGCTACAATAGTTTCAGTAGAACCGTTTAGGAAACATGTGGCTTCCTACATTGGAATACCTTCCCACTGACAGAACCTTCTCTTCAAAAGGTTGGCACTGGCTCTGTTCTTCAATTGCTTTCTATTAGAAAGACCAAGATGCTGGTGCTTTAAGCAAAACTAATATAAATGATGAAGTTAGTCTCTTTCAACAGAGTTATTCTTTTGAGATCAGGCTTTGAATATTGTCTGGCATTGATTTCATTTTTTAATGTCCATCTTCTTGCTTTAATTGGATATTAATTCCCTGAAGGTAGTGTGCCCAGCTTAGAAACAGAATTCCAGGGATGGAAGGAATCCAAACTCTACATTTTGCAGATAAAGAGTTCAAGATGAGGGGCTGGGGATTTAGCTCAGCGGAACAGCGCCTGCCTGGCAAGTGCAAGGTCGTGAGTTCAATTCCTGGTACTGGAAAAAAAAAAAAAAAGGAGTGTTCAGGATGAAATCAAAACCCAGATGTTTGTCTCCTTTGGCACACATATCATATTAGCTTGCCTGCGATAGTGTCCCCAGAGGGGTGAAAATTGATTCTTGGTAGGCACAAAAACATATATAATGGTTTGAGTTTCTCCAAAGCGTGACCCTGTCTGACACAATCTTTCTTAGGACAAATGTAGATTTTCTTCTACAATGGGCTGGTCATTTTTAGAGGATGGTGATACCATGCTGCGTCCTATGCAGTTCTTGATATTCCTGGAGAACAGTGGCAAGAGGATGAAGAAATAAAGACAAGAGACAAAAGCTGAGGTCAAGTGGAGCCCTCTCTCTTCTGATGGCAGGAAAGGTACTGTCCAAGAACTGTAGAGCATTTATTTATACACTCAGGAGGTTGATGTCAGTTTCAACCTCTCTGTGTAGCATTGGTTTGCAAGCTGGAAAGCTTGTTTACATGGCTCCAGGAGCCCTCCTTCTCCAGTCAGCTTTGTCTTAGCCTAGTGTGTGTGATTGATTTCCAGCTTCAGCTGCTCCCTACAATACCATGTAAATTGGGCTTCTGTCTCCCAAAGTCAGCAAATGAAATCCTGGACAAGGAGGCAGTTAAGTGTTTATGGAAGTATAAAAGGAAAGATAGCTGACAATTTGGGGGGCAGGTCCTGAAAATGAGGTGCCACAAAGGCTCTTTGTCCAGAGTCTTTTATGGACAAGCAGAGCACAGGAATTTACCCAGGGTAATTTACCACAGAGGGCCTCATGGGTTTAAAATAACTAATTGAGACTTGGCCTTTCTAATGAGGAGTTCAAAAGAAAAATCAGTGACTAGTGTCTTTGAATTCATCGAAACCAGCCCCCAACCTGGATGTAGGAAGGGGTTGCTAACTAACTTTGTGCATTCCATTCTGCCTAATTGCCTGCCTTAATCTTAACTTTCATTATTTTTCCTGTGTCTGTTTTTACATCTCTGAGTTTAACTCTCTATATGGCTTCAGTTAATGCTTAAGTCAGTACACATGTTGTTGTCTTTGTAAGGCTGACCAGCCCAATTCTATTTTAGGCCCTGTCCCTGGCTAGCTGACTATTTACAAACTAAAGAGCTGAACTGCATCTTATAATGAGGAAAGAGATGCTAGTCTAGTTCAGCGGAGCACAGAGTAAGGACTTTCACATCTCACCGAGCCACCCTGAGAGCTTTCCACCTGACTTTACTCCAGTTGGTATTTGCTCCAGCAGTGGACTGGTCAGCTTTGTAGGCATTTTGCCTGAGCTGTTAACACAACAAAAATGTACACTAAAGACATTAATTTTTCTATAACACTCTTGTCCTGGGTGTAGGCTGTTAAAAAACTTGCAGTGGCTTCCCTGGGCCTTAATAATAACATTCTAACTACTGAATCTGATGTTCAAAGCCCTGGGAAATCTGACTTTATAGTCCCAGGCCCCCCATACACACTGAATCCACAGCTTTAGGAGGACCTATCATGTGTCTTCTGAATATGCTATGACCTTCTGTTTGGGCACCATGGAATTTTTCCAGTTCATTGAAGGCCTTCCAAATTCTCAGAGCTGAGAATGGTAGTCTTCTCCACCACCACCATGCAATTATTTTTTTTTTGTTTGGTTTTACTTTTTAATTTTATTTTCAGGAGTATCTTCCTTTGGCATTATATTATGAGACCATATCTCTTTCCAACCCATAGAATAAGTATTTGTGCTGCATTCTGGAATAGTCTACTTAGCATTGTATTTGATAAATAGTGTTCACTGTCTATGTTTTGCAATTATCCATTATCCATCCATCATCTGCTTTGAACCAATTGCTATACTAAATTCCTAATAATTCACAGTTGAATGGGAAAGACAATTAAATTACAATGCTAAGAAGGCTATCATAGACATGTGAGGGATAAGGGGGTTAAATACTTTAATTTCCCCTCATCCAGTTTTATTTTCTGTGATTTTGGCTACCTGAAGTCAACAGTGGCCTGAAACTATTAAAGAGAAAATTCCAGAGACAAACAGTTCCCAATTTTTAAATTGTGCTCCATGCCAAGCAGCATGATAGTATCTTGAGCGACCTTCCTCTGTCCTTCCTGGGATGTGAACCTCCAGTGTATCCACACTGTATATTCCACCAGCTCATTAGCTACTTCGTCACCCTGTCATCCAGAATGAGAGGTACCACAGATCTGGTGTTCATGTAACCTTTGTTTTACTTAATACTGATCCCAAAGCACAAGAGCAGTAATGCTGGCAACTCAGGTATACTCAAATACTCAGATATATTTTTTTTTTTTGGTACTGGGAATCAAACTCAGGACCTTGCACTTGCCAGGCATGCACTGTGCCACTGAACTATATCCCCAGGCCTAGATGTGCTAAAGAGAAGCCATAAAGTGCTTCCTTTAAATGAAAAGGTAAAAGTACAGTAAGATATTTTGAGAGGCTCCATTCACATAACTTTTGTTACAGTATATTGCTATGAATTTTTTATTTTATTGTTCTTGTTGATGTCTTAGTTGCTTAATTTATAAATAAACTTTAACACAGATGCATATATGTGGGAAAAAATATAGTATTTGTGACTATAAAAGGTTAGTAGCACCAGACGTTTCAGGCCCCCACTGAGGGATCTTGGACACATCCTCTATGGATGAGGAGTGCTGCTGTATGCTAGGTAGAGGCAGCAGTATTGCATGCCCTCTATAACTCGCATGATATGTTCCAGGAGGTGAGGAGATCCGTGTGACCAGGGCCTGCACCCCAGTGCTTGTCAGACTTTAATGGACTTTACTGGACATACAAGTCACCTGGAGCCTCGCAAAGATGAAGATCCTCATCCAGCAGGTCTCAAGTGAAAGTGGCAAGAATGACGGGAGAATTGTGTTCAAAGCAAGGGAGGATATTATGAAGGGAGTTAATGGCAATATGTCTTTTACTATAGTTAAGTTCAAAATTTTTTTGAATACTCACCATATTTTCAATACACTTCATAATCCTGGGTGGCTTGGGTCCTAGGGAAGACTTAACATTTTAGTTTTGTGATGGAGACCACTGCAAAGCAGACCTGAGCAGGACTTAAATTAATCAATTGGCTCTTCATGTTCACTTCTGAATCTGTCCAAGGCCTAGGCTCCTTATCTGGAAATGGCGGACTCATAGTAAGTGAACCTCTGTGAGTCACTAATCCCTACTAAAATCTGTAGTGGTAGATGAAGCCAGAAAGCCTCAAAGGATAAGACAAGATCATAGCCAAGGACACCTTGATCAGATCTCAACTAGACAAAGACTATAGCCTCACACATCTCATCCACAATCTTCAGTGGATTAACTTAGTAACTTACTTAGAGAACTCCTTGAGTGGTTCCACCCTTCTTGAGTACTCCTCTCCCTTCTTCTGATAACCAAATAAATATGGGTGACCCAGAGAAGGTCTTGGTCTTAGCCCTGAGAGAATCTTGAATTATATGAGAAGGCTTTGATCTTCCTGGAGCCCTGAAATCATTCCATTTGCTTCTCTTTATTTAGCCTTCGTTGTACACTCATTCAGGAGACTGTAGATGTGATCAGCCCGCAGTAACTAAGGGATATTATTAACCCCATAGTTTTGCCCTTTGTGTCTTCTGCATCCCACACTTCTACCACTAACTGGATGACTGGTCACAGGGGAGGCATCACCCAAAGCAGCCATGATTCCCCTACAGCTCCTCAAAATGGCTCAACATGATGGACAGAGGCCCACAAATCCAGACGCAATGACAATAAAATGCAATGGTGACCCTTAACCTTCCAATCAGCAGTATTGGTATGGTTTGGATGTGGTTTGTCCCCTAAGTGTCTGTGTGACATAAGCTTGGTTCTCAGTTAGCAATGCTAGGAGGTGGGACCTCTGGAAGGTGAAGCATTGGAGGAAAGTTCTTAGGTCAAAGTTAACTGGAAGGTGGGGAGTACTGGCCTCAAAAGGGATAAACACATTTATCCCGAGACTCTGCTTAGTTCTTGCAAGACTACTGTTATAAAATCCTAAGTTTGGCCCCATCCAGTCTCTCTATGGCTTTATGAAGGCGTGATTGCTCTTTTCACATTCATTCCCACCATGGTGGTCTACCATGAGTTGGTGCAGCCAAAGAGGATCCTCACCAGAGTCTGGGCCATGCTGATTGGAACTTTCAGCAGACACAGTTGTGGGCTAAATAAACCTCATTTTATAAGCAGCATGTGTGACCACAAACCCTGATATGTCAACTTCATTGAATAAAGAGATGCCTAACAGATTCTGGGTGGGTCATACAGGTGTGATCTTGAGCACCAAATATAGTCTGCAGCCCCTTCCTCTCTGGCACTGTTCCCCTGCTCTGCTTCCTAACTACCACAGATTAAGCAGCTTTGCCCTGCCATGCCCTCTGCCATGATGTTCCTGCCTTGGAGCCACATGACTATGAACTGAACCCTCTGAAACTGTAAGTGAAATTAATCCTCTCCTCCTTTAAGTTGTGGGTGCAGGAAATTGTATCTTAGCAAGTGAAAAGCAGATAAATATAGTATGCTTTACTTATTTCATTATAGTAACAGAAAACTGATTTCATTTGACTTACATTGAGTAGAATAAAACCTCCTTAATTCAGGCTGTATTAATCTGAACTTGGTGACAATTTGACAATTAATATTTACCTGTCAAATCACTTCTTTATAAATTGGAGAAAGTTTGATTATGTAGCTGTCATTATAAAGATAAGGGAAACATTTTTAAAAATTTCAAATAAACTCACATAGCTTTAGAAACACACATTTATATAAATAATCATAGTCATTCATTCCACAAATAATTTTGTAATTTATACATTCAACTTTGTTCAAAAATTCTAATAGAAAATGCTGCTGATCTAGTTCCTGGGCTGAAGGGAAACAACATTAGTAATAGAGACAACAAAGATGTATTGAGATCTATAACATGTTTTTTATACAGTTTGATGTGAAGAATCAAAAACATTAAAACAACTTTAAAAATTACATAATTTGAGTTTATTAAATGCATCTATTATCAAAATGGTCCCACACCTCTGTGTAAAGTGACAAGTCTTCAATTCTGCTATGAAGTTTCATTCCTAGGAATAAAAGGACATTAGAAATGGACATCCCCACATACATTAATTCATCTGAAAAGCATTGAAAAGAAAATGTGATTTGCTTATTAGAAAAAGGTATATTTAGCTTAATTCGGGGCATATCATCCAGATTTCCTTCCATTCCCCAGTGGTCACTAAATATAGCCTAAAAGTTAAGAATTGAGATGTGAAAACTAAAAAAAATTTCAAGCCAAGTCTGGTTTTCCCACAAAGGCATTTTTATGATATCCCATCATATTAATCTTCAGAACATTTTGTAAACAATCTTTGTGAAACAATTTAATGATTTGACAATAATGACTTACTTGTTTATATGTTCATGTTCATGTTCAAATAAATCAACTCCTTGAGTTTTGTTAACTGAATTAACAAAACAATTGAAATACCTTTAAAGTGGCACAGTTGTGGTAAACCACTAAAAATTTTAACTTATTTAAAACACCTCAAAAGGTGTAATAGCTGTACTGACTTATTTGATGCAGTGGAAATATCTTCTCTTTCCTTCCAGTTCTATCATTTTTTATAGATGACTTTTCCTTTAATGATAACATATTCAATTAATTCATGATGGCCTCCAAATTGGTAAATCAAATGCTCCCATCTAGAAAAAAAATCAAACATTATTTTCAGTGCATAGTAGTCAAAGTCATTACAATGTCAATAAATGCTACTTTAAAATGCATTTTCTAAAAATTGATTTATACTAGATCATTGGTATTTGGGTCTTCCCAACAAGAAGTAAATAACTACCTGGTCAACTGAAAATTAAACATCACTTCATAATAAATTTAAGTACTTGATCTGAAAACATTTGCTTATGTGAGGCACAAATGGTAGCATGAGCATTATTTTCGACGACAGGAGTGGATTCTGACAATGAGGAGCAGAATTACAGAGCCACTCTTCTCTGTTGAACATGGGGCCCAAGGGCTGTGACAGACTCTCAAGTCAAGGAGCCAGAGAATTAACAACTTTTAGCTTAGAACAGGACCCGAATTGCCACACTGGAGGCCCAGGGGGCAGCAGACTGGGTAATAACAAGAAACCAGGAACAGGATAAATAAGGGAGGACTTGGTGGGGGGTTCTACTCACTATTACAAGTCCGAGAAAGAATGCATCAGAACCTAGGTGCCAACGGAGCTGGGAGCAAGCAGGTCAGGAGCCGAAAAGAAAAATGAAAACATGCCACAGAGCAGAAGAAGTCCCAAGTCCAGGTAAACAGAGCAGGAACCTGGAAATCTATGACAGACGTAAGGCAAACAGACCTGAAAACATGGTCTACCTGAAGCTCAGGAGCAGGAGGAAGACTTCCCATCTAAAGAGCTGAACAGAGAGAGGACTGGGTTGTGTCTCGGTCTAGACTAACAACTGATGCAAGTGGATTTAAACCTCATCATCACATAACAGTGGGCAGAAAATAAAATAGCTCCCCTGGGAGAACACTCGCCTGGATGCATTGATGATAATGAAATCCCCCTGTTTGCCAACTTCCAACGATCCATGCGTGTGGGACTTTCCCAGTGCATAAGCCGCGTTGATGGTGGCAGCAGCCAAGGCCTCGGGCATGGACATTCGCATGTTCACACAGGCCAGGTGCATGACCATTGGCTGGGGTGGGAAGAGAAGAGCATTACAGGAAAGCAACAGAGTGGCAACAGTACTCACACCATTTCTCAACTCGGCAAAACAGAGGTAGTTAAACGCATAGACAGAAGGGCTCAGGATGGAATTCTGGGGCTGGGGATTTAGCTCAGCGGAACTGTGCCTGCCTGGCAAGCGCAAGGTCGTGAGTTCGATTCCTGGTACCAGAAGAAAAATAAAAACAAAAACAAAAAACAAACAAACAGAGAAGGGCTCAGGATGTAGCTCAGTTGGAGAGGTTGTGCTTAGCTGCCCAAAGCCCTGAGTTCAATCCCAACACTCCCCCCAATAAATGTACAGGTGGAACTTACTATATTGCTATGAAAATATCTATTTTTTGTTTGTTTGGTGTTCTTGTGGTACCAGGAATGGAACTCATGACCTTGCCCTTGCTAGGCAGGCGCTGCTCCACTGAGCTAAATCCCCAACCCCAAAAATATCTAAATTTATACATGAAGATTCCTATGCTTTAGGAAACTCTCCCATGCTATCGGGATTGTGTATTTACTGCTTATTTACAACTTTTCAATTGCTTCTCGGCCTTTTGGCTAAGATCAAGTGTACAACTTTTCAAGACCCTTACTGTGTAAGATGAAGCTTACCTCTGCCCTAACTTATTGAAGCCTCTGAGTTCCTGCTGTGCTCTGGAGAATGAAAATGGGTCACTACGAAACCAAAAACTTTCCAGGCTAAATCAGAAAGTAATGCAAATAGTGGCTTCTCTTCTCTCTTTCAGCCTGGAGACACACAGCCATGGGGCGGAGAACAGCCCAGTTACACTACCGGCTACACCTTTTTTCTTGTTTCATGGGGAAGATCTAAAAACATCTCCCTGTGAAGCAAGAAAAAAGGTGTACAATTGGTAGATACTCTGCTCAGAAAAACATGAAGGGGAGCGCACGGGGAGCCTCGGGCAGGGAGCGCCGGTCTTCAGACCGGCGGCTCACTCCCGGCTTCGTCATTCCCCAGAAGGAGGGCTTCCGGTGCACAGGGAGCCACGGGTGGGGAGTGCCAGTCTTCCGGCTGGCTAGCTTCCTGCCTGGTAGCTCCCAGAGGGGGGGCCTCCTTATGGGGAGCCATACGGCAGTGAGCGCTGTTGCCCGCTGGCCCTTAGGCCGGCCACCGCCACTCAATTGAGATCTATCATGACACAGAGAAACAGTGACACAGTTGCCCACCCATGGATATGTGTGAATCATTGAAACTTTGAACAACCCCTGGGAATACATGCCATACAATGGGCCACTCTTGCTCCTGCCATTGGGAACCAGAAAGGTCCAGAGCCAGCGGAGGAGCATCTGCTGAACAAGGACTCAGAGAACATGAGAATGCAGACTAAGCCCACGGAGTCAGACGTCCAGTGGACTGGGTTCATGAGAGCCGCTCGGAAGCTGTAAACCAGGAGGACCTTGCACAATACCTGCAGAGACTCATTGGAAGCCATTCTTCCCCTGACAGTACAGGCTGTGGTGGAGCTCCAGAGAAGTCTGCAGCAGGATTCCTGCTGCCTGTGCTGACAGTTGGGGAGAGGACACTAACTGGTTGTAGGGTTCCAAAGCAATGGGAAGCTGGAGAAAAAAAGCTACAAAGAATGGCTTTCACCCCAGATAGCTCACTTGAGATGTTAATAAGAACTGCCTCCTTAGTAGTCTGTAGCCATGAGGAGGAGGAGGCCAAGGAGAGAAAACAAAGAGACTGAGAAAAAGCAGCTGCTTTTGCTGCACCACTAAGAGAAACAGATCCCAGGTCTGATTCCCTGGGCTCCAAGAAGAACTCGACAGCTGCATTCATCTGCTACCACTGTTAAAAGCCAGGCCACCTCAAGAGGAACTGCCCTAAGAGGCCCCATGGGACATGCCCTGGATGCAAAGGAGACCACTGGAGATCGGTCTGCCCTCTGAGGTGGAGGCCCCAGAGCTCAGACCCATGCTACCAGTTAGTCCAACAGGAATGAGAGGGCTTGGGGCATGGTCTGCCTTCTCCCTCTGGCCAGATTGTCATCTCCATCGAGGAGTCCTGGGTAATCATGACTATAGAGGAACAAGAAAACAGCCTGTTGCTAGACACAGGTGCAAGTGTCTCAGGCCTTCTTTTCAATCCTGGCCTTCCTTCCAGCCATCATACCTCAGTGAAAGGAGTCACTGGTGAGGAGGTAATATGCTATTTCTGACAACCCTTAGGCTGTAACTACTTAATAGGTCCCTCTTGCATATCTCTGTCTTCCTGAGAAACCACTTTGAAGATACCACCATGTATTACAGCAGCCATTGATATTTTCCTACTAATCTATCCATAACTGTGTAAAGTTTGTAATGTTCCTATCCTATTTCATAATGTATGTTTATTATTATGTGTTTCCTACAACAACCATTGAGAATAGTTAATGATTTTTCAATAGGTCACTCATGTATAGCTCTATTTATTTTCTTTAGAAGCCACTTTGAAGATACCAAAGTATAGTACAACACCTCTTGATAATCTCCTACCTCTTTTGTCTCTAACTCACTATTGTTTGTCTATTTGTTTTCCTGAGAAACTATTTTGTAGATAACAATATGTAAAATGATAACCATTGATAATTTCCTACCATTTTGTCTGTAATTTGCTAAGTCCCCCCTATTATTATGTTATCCTTCTTTTACTCTTTAAAATTAAAAAAAAAAGAAAAACATGACGGGTAATTACCATGGAAAAGCAGTATGCGTTCGGGTTGAAGTCGCTGCCCAGAGCAACTATTACCCCTTCATCCAACATCTTCCTGGCTCGCGGCTGCTTAAGTCTAAAGAGAGGAAGGAAAACATGTCGGCCTTTAGCATTGGAAGAGCTCAGAATAGATGTTTAGAAAGAAGTCAACTTGAGACAACTAAGCCCTTCGTGTTCTGGAAGGAAAAACAGAAAGTCAGGGTTAAGTGGTTAGCGATGGACTTAACTGCAACCCCAGGATTCTTGATTTTATCACTGCTTTTGAAATCACTTGACAATTACTTGCTTACTGTGATTATTTACCTTAATGATTTATATATAGTTAGAGATTTTTGCTAAGGAACAAAAATATAACTTATAAATGGTTTTCTAATCTAATAAATTGTTGTGACTCTCAAACTAAATAACTAATGAGGTTAGTCATCCGCTCCTTTTTTCTTCTTTCTTTTCTTCCTCTTCTTCTTCTCCTTCTCCTTCTTCTCCTGGATTAAAACATTTTTGAGGGCCAGGGATATAGCTCAGTGGCACAAGCACCTGCCTGGCAAGTGCAAGGTCCTGAGTTCAATTCCTGGTACCAAAGAAAACTTTTTTGTCATAATTCTAAAATCTTGACGGCTCATGAATGTAACATGTAAAATGTTTGTGCTTCTTAATGATGAGTCATCTCCCTGGCATTATTGATGAAATATTCTTTATTCTTTAGGATATATCTCAAGTCATTTCAAAGATGAACAAAGCCATATACTAGTTAAAGTGATGGCGACAGATTAATTCAGTAATAACTACTACTACAAGGAAAAGAACACAACATAAACTGAACTCAACTTCAATTTGTGCAGAAGTAACTGGGAGGTTTTAAGGGGAAACGAGAAAGGAAGGAAGGAAAATAAGTCAGGGACTCAATCAGTCAGGGATGAGGAGGAAATTTACAGAATGACAGAGGGAATTAGTCAGAGATTGGGCTTGACATTCAGGCTCACCTGGAGGAGAGACAGACTTGTCTCTTTATGGCAGGAGGCAGGGGTACAAGTTAGAGTGAGGGGAACAACATGAAAGTTTTCTCCTTAAATATTCGCCTTTCAAAGAGAGAGCTGTCGGGCCCTTGAGAATATAGTTCTGGGCTGGAGATTCAGGGTCAAAGGAGAAGAGAAAGAATGTGTAATTGCTCCAAGAGGGTCTCGGGCCTATCTGCCCATCAGCAGGTCTGGGGTTGGTACAAACAGCAAATTCTCCCAGGAGCTGAGCTTTCTCAGAGGCAGGGCCATCTCAGAGATGAAGTCTGGACCATCAGAAACTACCTTAGTGTTTGTCCTGGCCTCCTAGTCGCGGGAGCTGGGGAGGTGAAATCATCTGTACTCGGAGTTGGCAGTGTTTTATAGCCCAACATCGAGGCCCACTCTGAAAAGGGGCTCACAGAACCCTGACTAGAGTTTTGTCAAGGAGAATTGTTGTTAGGTGCCTCCTCTGGGAAGGCTTCCAACCATCCCTGTTAGCACCACCTTCCCTGGCCACCTACAGCACCCACGCTCCTCTATCGGCCCTGGTACCGCTAGATGGCCTGTCTCATGGTAACGGCTGGACTGACACTCAGCTGTGACGGAGCAGCACACCTTCTGCTTGTTAACTACAACCAAATCCACGGAATCTCACACTACTGGATTTCTGTCTGACATCCATTTGATTGGCTGGTGCCCTCGCTGAGCCAGCGGGTAGATATTTAGACTATCGCGCCTGCCCCTACTGTGAGAGAGAGAACTGTTGCTTTTTATTGCAATTTGTTTGTGCCTACATGGTGAGCCCTGTCTCTGACTAATCAGTGTTTGCTTGCTTGAATGAATGAATGAATGAATGAATGAGTGGCACTGTTATACTCTAGGATTGTGGTGAATGTGACAAACGTTTCTAGTTCAAATACTCAAAGCCTGCCTAAGTCTGTGTCTTGGTTACTTTTCTCTCGTTGCTGAGACAAAGTACCCAACGCCCAAAATGAAGGAAGGAAAGGTTTATTTGGCTCACAGTTTGTGCAGGTTTCAGTCCGTACTTGGCTGGCTCAGAGGCAGAAGACAGCAAAGCAACAAGAGCAAAGGGGGGAACGGCAGCCGAACAGCAAAGCAGCCAGAGGCAGCAAGCAGCTTCTTTCCCTGCCTTACTTTGTAAACAGGCTACCCCCACCTAAGGGGTGTGTAGCTCTCACATAATCTTTGCCCTCCTCTTCCACAGGCTCAGGATGTATACAAAGTAAGCATCCTGGCTTCCTGCTGAGTCACTTAGCCAAACCTCTAGACTCCCCAAGTTGACACAATGTATCAACCATAACAGTCTGCTAACTGAGGCAGTCCATGAATTAATGAACTGTTAATTTCTGGAATTGGCCATGGAATATTTTCAGTCTGCAGTTAACCTTGAGTGAAGGAACCCTGAGAGAGAAAAACTGCAGGCCGGGGATGTATGCAGCTTCTCGTGGGTCATGCTGATGGCCTCTGGTTCCCTCCAGAACTACTTACATGAGGCTGTAGAAGCATTAAGGGAGCTCCTTAGAGACATGAATATTTCCTGAATAAACAGTACGTGCAGATATTCAGAGGACACACGATTAAAGGAAGGCTTGCAGAGGCACGAGGCCGTGGTTGTGCTGGAAAGGCGGAAAGGCCAGGTCAGGGCCTGCCAGGGGCTGCCAGTCTCACCATTAGGGAAGAGCAGAAAAACACGGGCACAGAGGAGCCAGAGAGAGGAGTGTGGCCTTCTCTTCAACTGTCCTTGTCACCCACGTGTGATGCAAACCCGCCTGGGGCAATGGCAGCCACCAGTGTCCCAGGAACCGAGTTCAGGCCTTGAATGCCGAACAGCACTAACACAAAGTCTCAGATTTTGCTCCTTGCTAAGAGATGCCAGGCAAGTAAACAGAAGCAAGTAAAAGAAAAACTCATTCTTCGAGTGGCAGAAAATTAACCAAACTAAATATTGACTGATGACTTACGAGTGATGACTATTGAGATTTGTAAGAAAAGCAGTTGACCAGACCAAGAATAGTGATTGCTATTTCCTAATTGTAGTTTACACTGTCTACACTGTAAGAGAAAATTCTAAACAATAAAAAACCTATGTGTGTATGCGATCAGCCAAATATTCATTTCTTTTCCCTTCTAAAAATTACTGAAAGTCTGGCCTTCTCAACTTTGGCTCAATTCTTGTCACAGACTGTGTACTTCTTTGCTGGGGGAGGGGGCCGTTCTACACATTGAGGGGTGTTTAACTGCATCCTTGGTCTCTGCCCAGCAGATGTCAGTAGGATCCCCTAACTGTGAGAACCAGAAATGTCCCACATCAAATACCCTCTCATGGGTGGGAGCACTGTTCCAAGGCCGTGACTGCAGAATCGTACCCTCACCGACAGCACACACGGTAAGCACACAGCAAGCGCCTTGTCCCCGGAGAAAATAAACTACTACTTCAGTGTTGGCCCCCCGGACCCCAGACTCAGCAGCTGCCGTGGAGGTGGTTTGATGGACACGGTGAAAAGCTCTCAGAGCTCCTGTTTAGCAGAATTAGAGCAAGGCAGTTCTAAAAGATGGACAAGTTGAATTCAATTTACAGAAGGCCTACAGCAACATCTCTGGGAAGATTTCACAAAACACACCTTGCATGTTTCTTCAGGCCTCCTACCCCCAGGATCTGTGGAAATTCTGGTCCTCAATCATGGTAGCTACTACCAACCTTTTAGAAAACAGTTGCTTCCAATTCTGAGTACTATGAAATAGCCCTAAGATCTTATGCATTCTTAAAAAAAAGTTTAAAACTTGTTTCACAATTTTCTAATTATAAAAGTAACATATGCTATTTTTTAAAAACTGGAAAATACCAAAATCTAGAAGGAAAAAGAAAAAGTATGATATTTCTCAATAATCCTACCACGCCAGCTTGAATGTAAACTCCCTCTAGGAACATCTGTCCGGAGTTGGCATCTTCATGAGCCTGCATTTCCAGGGATTTGTCAGGGCCATGCAGTAACGTTTAGGCACCTGGAAGTCTGTGTCCTTCCAACTTGTGTGTGCGGCCCTTGTGTCAGGGGTGAGAAACTCGCTCACCTCAGCATGTAGGCCGTGGTGGGCAGCAGGACCGCGGAGCACCCTGCCGTGGCCATGGCAGCGATGCCTTTGTCGCTCACCTCCTCCAGGTGGCTCACTGCCCGGGCTCCCAGCTCTGCTCCGAGCTAAACAGGACAGAGAGGGGAAGTTAGCACAGGCAGTGATACAGAAAGCACCAGGAAACTGCTTTCCTACAAAAGGAAAGGCACTCTGTTATTAAGTTTTCTTGTCAGCTACCTCCTATAGGCATAAATCTTCCAATCCAGGCATGGTGGTGCACACCTGTGATCCCAGCACTCGGGAGGCTGAGGCAGGAGAATCGCTGTGAGTTTGAGACAAGCCTGGTCTAAAAAATGAGCTCAAGGCCAGCATGAACTGCACGGCATGACCCCGTCTCAAAAAGACAAAAAAAAGCATAGATCTTCCAATGGATAAAGATATACCAGGGTCATCCATTTGAAAGGAAGGTAGCTTGCTACTTTCAAAAGTAATCTTAAACGCAAATACTTTCAGACATTTTCTGACACAGAAAATTTTCTGAATCTTACAGGGCAGAGTAGAACTTTGAGTAACATCGGTAATAAAATCTATTATGCCATCATAAAACACAATCAAGATAGGCATTTTAGAATGCTTATCAGATACAAAAATAAACTTTAAAGCAATCAGATAAAAAAAAAAAAACAGACTGAAAATGCTGTGAATGATTTGAGACTATCAACTTGATCTTGACTTTCTTCCCGATGAAAAGTTGGGGCTAAGCCAAGAGGAAGTGATGGTACTGCAATATGGAAGCACCACTTTAAAGCGGATCACTTCTCAACTTAGTTTTACCACCTACCTTTCCCTAAAGAATAAGTTTTCACACACATGCACAAAGCACCCCAAGCTGAAAGTTGACATGCGAAGCATTTCAAGGACAGGAGAGGAGACTGGCCCTTAGGGGCTCACTGTGGCCCAGGAGGCTGCAAAGCTCCAGTCAAGGCAAAGACGATGTGAGCCTTCATCAGCAGCTTGCTCGGGCCTGTACTTGGGATTGGGGCTCTGAGGAGACTGGTGGTCACAGGACAGATAATGCCCTGTGGGAGGAGTCATTTCCTGACCTTGGGATCACCCTCACTTTTCCAAACTTAATTTATTATGAGTATTGACTTCTATGGATTTAATCTACCAGTCACTGTCTAGGACTAAAAGTATCTCTTTGATCACCCGGCTTGCATTCATTCAATATTCAACATGAAAAAGGCCATCTGTACCTGCAGGCTGATCTCTAGGGACAGAGATATGCAAGGAAACAGTGCAATGTTCAGGGTGTTTATAGTCCAGTAGGGATCACAGAGGTGAAGTGAACCTGGCAGGATAAGAACAGGGAGAGCCAATAACCTACTCCAGGGGGGCTGGAGATGAAGTCCCAAAGAAGTGGAAGCTATGATAAAACCAGTGGGCAGGAGCCCAGGTTCAATCCCCAGCACCACAAAACATAAAAGCCAGTGTGTGTTCAGATTAGAGAAACAGCACGCCGAAAGGCGTGGAGCATTAGGACTAGCTCCTGGTGCCTTGTTCATGACAGAAGCTGCAGGAGGTACAGGGGGATGAGGGAGAGGGAGGAAAGCGCAGAGGTACTGGGCAGATCCTGGTAAGCCAGGCACAAAGTCTGAAATCTGTCCCCAGAGCAATGCTAAGCCTGTCAGTGGTTTTAAGCAATGAAACGAAAGGATACGGCGCACGGAAGAAATAGGTTAGAGGAAGGAATTAAAGTGGAGCTGAGATAGGAGGTGAGAACAGTTACTGCAAGAGCCCAGGTGAGACTTGCTGGGGTCTGAGGAGAGAGACACGGATCTGGCGGTTCTTAGGAGGAGAACCGGGAGCACTTGGTGATTGACTGAAACATGCAAGGTGAGAGGCTGAGGGATCAAAATGACGGTCAAGCTTCTGACTGCAGCAATAGATAGATAACAACATCCACTGGGGCAGGGGACACAGGCCAAGCTCTGGACATGATATTAGGACACATGTGGTTGAAATGCAGGCGGAGTGCCTGCAACTCCGTTTATGGCCCACGGGCCATTGTTCATTAAGCTCTGGGCTTAGTGTCCGCACTCACAGTGGTAGAGACTTTGTCTTACTGCTGAGCGCTAGCTACTACCTGGAACAGTACCCAGAATACTACCTGGAACCGCTGACGTGTGGACAACTATTTACAGGGTGAAAGAGTGAGTCTAAGCAAGAATACAGACTGGGAAATCTCCCTGGACTATGAACGGTGTGTGCCAGCAGCATTGCTTGAAGCTTGCCACAAGACCATCCTGGAAGCTACAAGTGAAAATACTCGACTATGCTAGAATGGCTTTGTGTGATGATAATAAAAAGAAGTGATGAGGCTGCAGGTGCAGCTCCGTCATAGAGCATGTGCTCAGCCTGTGAGAGGCCCTGGGTTCAAGCCCTGGCACCAAAGGAGAGTACGTTTCTAATAGAGGTCAGTTTTCCACGCTGGCTCAGATCAATCTTCCCACTGTTCAGCCAAGTGTGCCCATGTTCTATGTTTTCAGAAGACTACTCCTGCCTGTGGACAAACGAATGAAGTTTTCCACAGCAAGAACGAGTGGTGACAAAGGAAGAGCCAAAGGTCAAGCACACCTCAGCAGCCTTCATGGGATGCAGCTCATCGCCATGGAAGTTAATCTGCAACCCCATCTCTTTTCCGCTTTGGAGAATCCTTCTGGTAGAATCCAGGTCAAAGACGCCCTCCTCACAGAACACATCTATGTTGTCGACGTGCATTTCCCCGTTTCTGCCAAGTTCCTTCAGCTTTGGGAGGTGGTTATTGATGATGTCATCAGCAGCTTCCAGAGCAGTCTTTCCTCTGATGGAAAATATACACATATGCTTTTTTTTTTTTTTTAAGGAAAAAGGGTAATTAGGCATTTGAAGAATTTGAGCAAAAGTGTAGATACATGACTGCAAGCCTCAGCAACATACAGAAAGAATCAAAGCTAAAAAGTCAGAACTCTTAACAACTGGGCCATACCTACCCAGCAGAAGTATGGACGTAATTTCTGTACACAACAACCTATACACGAACTGCTCAGCCACACTAGCATGCCTGTGTTGCCTTTAGGGAGGTCCGCAGGGACACCTGCTGCAAAGCTACCTCCCTGTATCAAGTCTCCCTATCAAGGATTCTTAGGGAACATCCTGGATGCTTTCCTGCTAAGACAGCTGTATTCCCCTCATCAGGGGCCCAGCAATCTTTCCTCCTGTTCCTTCCTCCACAGTGCCATCTAAGACTTTCTGTCCACCATCAGGGGACAGGAAAAAGGCCAGGAGGAGGGCCTGAAATACTCTCTAAAACTTTGGAGTTGAAAAGTGGTACCTCTTGTTGGTTACACAATTTGGGGCACACTAGTTAGCTGGGATTGCACCACAGGCTTAATCAGTGGGAATCAGGATGTGGACCCAGATGCGATGGAGAAGACTAAAACTTCAGCCCTGTATTTGGTACTCAGTAAAACCATTTGCGTGGGCAAGCAGAGGTCAACTATGAGAAGAAAGGTAGTGCTGGGAGCTGAATTTGGGACCTCCCACATGCTAGACAAGTTATTTCTACTTCTCAAAACAATCATACAGAATAGGGTGTTATGCACTTGTATATTACAAACGTATAACTCATGTTAGAAAAGTTAAGTCTCAGCCTCAAAATCACCCAGCTAAGTCAGATTCAAATCCAAGTTTTCTCACTCTAAAGTTTGAGTCTTTTCCACCATGCCACACTGC